GGTTCGGTTTTTTACCAAAAATAGAACCGAACCGAAATAAACGGTTTTTCAATATTTAAACCGAAACCGAAACCGAATAGTTAAAAAACCAAAAAAACCGAAACCGCTTTTTTCGGTTCGGTTCGGGTTTTTTAACGGTTCGGGTTTTTCGGTTCGGTTTTTCGGTTTTTCAATGAAAAAATCACTTGAAACTATAATTTTTTTTTTATAAAAATTGCCTATTCGGTTCAATATGGAACAAATGGGTTCCATATGGAAAACCCGAACCGAACCGAATCAAAAAAATGAAGCCTTTAAACCGAACCGAAAACCGAACCGTTTAAAGCCAAACCGAACCGAACCGTTTTACTCGGTTCGTGTCGATTTTTCGGTTTTATCAGTTTCGTTGCTCACCCCTAATAGGTAATACATCTTCCATACAAATTAAGAATGTTTTATATGTGAATGGATTAAAGCATAATCTATTGAGTATTAGTCAATTATGCGATAAAGGATTCAATGTCTTATTTGAAATTAATGGTTGTAAAGTCATTGACATTGCATCTAATCGGATTATGCTTGTTGGTCATAGAATATGGAACATTTACATGGTGCATTTAGATTCTTTTGATATGACTAATTTATGCCTAGTTGCTAACGATGAACATGATAGTTGGTTATGGCATAGGAGACTAGGACATGCTAGTATGAGTGTTTTGCAACGGCTAATTCAAGGTGATTTAGTTCGAGGGTTGCCTAAGCTTAAATTTGATAATGATAAAATATGTGATGCTTGTGCTAAAGGAAAATAAAAGCGTGTTTCTTTTAAATCCATTAATGACGTATCAACTAGTAGAGTATTACAATTGATCCATGTAGATCTTTTTGGGCCAACTAGGACTACTAGCTTGGGTGGAAAACAATATGCATTTGTCTTGGTAGATGACTATTCTAGATATACTTGGGTTTTATTTTTAAGTACTAAAGATGAAGCATTAGAACAGTTTATCACATTTTCAAAAATAATCCAAAATAAAAAGGGTTACTCTATAACTAGTGTTAGGAGTGATCATGGCACTGAATTTGAAAATCTTGGATTTATTGAATTTTGTAATTCTAATGGTATTAGTCATAATTTTTCAGCACCTAGAACCCCTCAACAAAATGGAGTTGTTGAGAGGAAAAATCGAACTTTAGAAGAAATGGCTAGAACCATGCTTTGTGAAAATAATTTGCCAAAATATTTTTGGGCGGAAGCCACAAATACTGCTTGTTATGTTGTTAATCGAGTAATGATTAGGCCAATTTTAAAGAAAACTCCATATGAAATTTTCAAAAATAAAAAGCCTAATATTAGCTATTTTCATCCTTTTGAATGTAAATGTTTTGTTTTAACGGTAAAGAAAACCTTGGCAAATTTGATGCTAAAAGTGATGAAGGAATTTTTCTGGGTTACTCCTTAAATTCTAAAGCTTATCGAGTATTTAATAAAAGAACTTTAGTTGTAGAAGAGTCTATACATGTTGTTTTCGATGATAATCCCCTTCCAAGGAAGGATTATTGTGTGAATGATGATGTAGGTGTTATAAATACAAATGATGTTAGACATGAAGTTGGAGAACCATCATCAAAGGAAGAAACGAAAAATGAGGAAACTCATGATCCTCTTGAGAATCCAACCATTGAAGAAAGGGAAGTATCTTATCCAAGAGAGTACAACTATGTCAAGGATGGTGAAATTATAGGTGATCCATCAAAAGGGGTAACAACTCGATATTCTCTTAGAAATATTTGTAATTATGTTGCATTTATCTCATACATAGAGCCTAAGAATATTAAAGAAGCATTAAATGATGAACATTGGATTATGGCTATGCAAGAAGAGTTAAATCAATTTGAGAGAAGTAAAGTATGGACATTAGTTGAAAGGCCTAGTAATAAATCTACTGTAGGTACTAGATGGGTATTTAGGAATAAGCTTGATGAGAGTGGTAATATAGTGAGAAACAAGGCTAGACTTGTTGCTCAAGGGTATACTCAAGAAGAGGGCATAGACTATGATGAAACATACGCTCCCGTAGCTAGGATGGAAGCAATTAGAATGTTATTAACATTTGCATGTTTTCATGAATTTAAATTATATCAAATGGATGTTAAAAGTGCATTTTTAATTGGTTTTATAAAAGAAAAAGTGTATGTGGAACAACCTCCAGGTTTTGAAGATTCAAAATTTCCAGATCATGTTCTTAAATCGACAAAAGCTCTTTATGGTTTAAAACAAGCTCCTAGAGCTTGGTATGAAAGATTGTCAAATTTTTTAATTGAAAAAGGGTTTTCAAAAGGAAAGGTTGACACTACATTGTTTTTAAAGATTAAAGGTAAAGATTTATTAGTAGTTCAAATTTATGTTGATGATATAATATTTGGTTCTACTAATAATGTTCTTTGCCAAGAATTTTCTAAGCTAATGCAAAGTGAGTTTGAGATGAGCATGATGGGGGAGCTCTCATTTTTCTTGGGACTCCAAATCAAGCAAAGAAAAGATGGCATATTCATTAATCAAGCTAAGTACGTCAAAGATATGCTCAAGAAGTTTGGACTGGAAAATGGGAAACCTCATGACACTCCAATGAGCTCTTCAACAAAGCTTGACTTAGATGAAAGAGGTAAATATGTAGATGTTAAATTATATAGGTCAATGATTGGCTCTTTGCTTTATCTAACTGCAAGTAGACCGGACATTATGTTTAGTGTTTTCTTATGTGCTAGATTTCAATCATGTCCTAAGGAATCACATTTACTAGCCGTTAAGAGAATCTTTAGATACCTTAAGGACACTCATAGTTTAGGACTTTGGTATCCTAGAGACTCTAGTTTTAGCTTGCATGCCTTCTCTGATGCGGATTATGGAGGATGTAAATTAGATAGGAAAAGCACCTCCGGTACTTGCCAATTCCTTGGAAATATGTTGATTTCTTAGTTTTCAAAGAAACAAAATTGTGTTGCATTATCTACCACTGAAGCGGAATATATTTCAGCCGGTAGTTGTTGTGCACAAGTTTTATGGATGAAACAACAACTTTTTGATTATGGAATTGAAGTATGTACTATTCCTATCAAGTGTGACAATACTAGTGCTATTTGTCTCACTAAAAATCCCATCCAACACTCTAGAACTAAACACATTGAAATTAGACATCACTTCATTAGAGACCATGTCACTAAGGAAGATGTAGTTCTAGAATTTGTTGATACTTTGCATCAATTAGCGGATATTTTTACAAAACCCTTAGATAAGGAAAGGTTTTGGACACTTAGGAGAGAATTAGGTTTAACTAACCTATCTTCACTTAGTGTTTAAAATAATTCAGCACTTTTAATAAATACTGAAAAATGCTCATAATAGTAATTTTTTTATTGCATTCATTGCTATTAGTTAGGGGGGAGTTTATGATTCTTGATGAAAAATTAATTTTATGTTCAAATATCGATTAAAGATTAATTTAATTGTTTGAACATAATTATTTTTCAATATATGAGTTGCCTATACCACTAGAGAAGATTAATTTAGCATTTTGTGTGCTTAAAAATCGGATTTTAGCATTTTGGTGCAGAGGGAATCGATCCCCCCCATGAGGGAACTGATTCCCCCTTTGAAGGGGAACTGATTCCCCCCACAGGGGAATCGATACCCCACTGGGGTTCTGTTAAAATCGGGCAGAACACCCCAAAACCCTCTTCCGCCGTTCTCTCTCAACTTTTCTCAAATCTCCATTTTTGCCTCACATCAACGATATTAATCGAATTCGAATCAAATATCATCTTCTAAACTGTTGGAATCATTAAAATCGTGCAAATAACATCTAAATCCCCTCAATCTTCATCTTTCAAGGTAAATTTTTCTAAACTCTCTATTTCATTGATTTTGAAAATAGGAATAGTTTTAATTAGTTCTAGGTTGAAATAGTGATCGGGCATTGATTGTTTAGTGATTAGAAACTAGATGTTACAACTAATTTCATCAAAAACACAAGAATTTTCCAAAAATTTTTAAATTTTTGAAATTAAAAAAATGTTAATTTTCAAATTATTGTGTTTTGATTAAATTATGTTGTTGTTATGAAAACTATACATATATTGTTTCTCAAAACCATATTTTTCAAAAGTTTTTCAAAAACTTTGCCCATTAGAATTGATTTAGAAAACCTTGAAATATTGAGGACTCAATTGAGTTTTGGGATTAATTGAATTGCATACATTTGTTTTTAAAATTACAGGTTATCCAATCTATTCCGATTTCCTTTACCATGTCCAATCCTAAACGTGCTAGGTCTTCATCTAGTCGTTCTAGTCGTCAACCAAATCCACCTCCAAATCCTCCTCTTATTCCTCAAAATCCTATTCCAAATCTTGATCCTAACTTGACTATCCAAAATTCTTGTTTCAATCAACCGGGTCCTAAAGATTATCGTTATTGGTTTTACCAATATTTTGACTCGTATAAGATTATGGAAGAACGTATCCCATCTCTTCAAGCTATGGTTGCTATTAACTTTAAATATCTCCCTATCTTGCACGAATGGAAATTTGATAAACTTTTCGAACTTGAACCCGTTGTCTATCATCAACTTGTTCGTATCTTCTATTATAATGCCGTTTGTATCAAAATCGTGACAAAACCAAAACCATAGGAGTACGTTCCTACCTCCTAGTTCAATATTTCCATCTTGATCTGGCTTACATAGCCAATGCCTTAGGCTTGGATAATGAAGGTTTATCAAATGAAAACAAAGTTTTAGGCTCACGATATAAACGAAATGATAGTGCAAGTGTTCTAGATCTTCATGAGTGTTTTCTTCATCTCATGATCACTTGGTGGTTTCGACCATCCGGGGATCGTTATTCTACTCTCAGAGCTTTAGATCTTTGGTGGTTGCATTGTTTTGAACACAATATAAAAATAAACCTTTCCGAGATTATCTTTGCTGAGATTGTTGAAACCGTTAACCTAGTGCCAAATAAGAAACTCTGTTCTTCACTAGTTTACGGTTGTATCCTTAGTAATCTCTTTTCTAAAGCCGAGCTTCGATTTGGTCTAGATGCCTCCTTTCCTCTTAAGAAACAAATCAATCTTCTTTCTTTAACAAGTGCGGGATGGGTCAAAAATAAAGAAACCGGTGAATGGGTTCGATCTTCTGCAACTACTCCGGGAGCTAGTTCTTCACAAGCTCCACTCGAAGCTGACGAAGATCCAGAGTTTGAACAATTAATGAGGGATATCGATGAAGCCGAAGATGAGCCTGAGCAACCCGAGGAGCACGGACAACAATCGACTCAAATGCCTCCATATTTTCAATCCTTTATGGAGACATTTGATTTCCGATGTGCGACCATGGATTCGTGCTTTACTTCTATAGAGTCCTATTTATCCACAATGGGAGCTCAACAATTAGAGATTCTCCGAGAGATGCGAACAAACAACGCTTCAATGAATGAACGTATTGATGCACTCTCACACAAGATGGCCGCTATGCGAGCTCGTTTTCCTCTTCCCGATCCTCCTACGGATGTTTGATTCTATATTTTGCTTTGAACTCCAAACTTATTGTTTTAACATTTTGAATTGTTTGGATTTATGGATGGTGTGAACTTATATGTTTGGTGTAATTTATTCATTATTGCATCATTTACATCATTATTAGCAATATGACCAATTTTGCCATATCACATTGTTTATGAATATTGATTATGGAACTAATGGCTAACGTTTCTCTTGATTGTGATCTTAGCAGCTTATGCATACATATACCTAATCAATTGGCTAAATGATTTTCACGTTTCTTTGAATCTTTTTGATTTAACAAAAAGGGGGAGAAGTGTGTGTTTTTAAAAATGATAAATGGGAGAAGTGTTAAAGTAAGGGGGAGTAATTTCAAAACTTGATTTCAAAATCTTAAAATTACTAAAATGTTTTGTTATATCAAAAAGGGGGAGATTGTTGAAAACATTTTGATATTTCGATATAACAAATTAAGTTAAATGAATTTTAAGATTTTCCAAATGATTTTCTAAGTATATTCGATATAATTATTCGAATATCAAAACATTACTCCAAATATTTCAAAAATCATTTTTAATCCTTACTTAAGTGTAAAATTAAGTTTTAATCTTAAATCAATTTCAAAATAATCTTTCAAAGTATTTTGAACCATTTCAAAGCCAAAAATTCCAGATTGCTCAGAGGGAACCGATTCCCCACAAGGGGGTACCGATTCCCCCTGAACGGTTTGGCTCCGAGATTTCCAGAATGCTCGGAGGGAACCGATTCCCCCATAGGGGGTACCGATTCCCCCCTGATCAACGGTCAAAATATTTGAATTTTACACTTAGGGAACCGATTCCCTATGAGGGGGAACCGATTCCCCCATGCTCCAAGCTGTTTTATTAATTGTTTTCACACTAAAACGGCTATATGATCTTCACTAATCATCCCCAACGTTCATAAGTGATTCAAGGTGTATTTAAACAAGTTCTGAAGCCCTTGATCAACAAGAAATCATAGAGAAACAAGAGAGAAAGCATCAAACACCAAGTTTGTGCAAATCAAGTCAATTTTCCTTTCAATATTCATTTTGCTTTCAAGAACACCATTTGTGCTCATTTGTAATTATCTTTGAGTGTTCTTTTCTTGTTCTAGAATTATGCAAACATCTTACCTTGTGAGGTTTTCCTTGTAAGTTTGCAAATTTGTAATCTTCTCTTTGGGAATGAGTGTTCTCAAGAATTGGGGTATATTCTTGAGGGTGTTGTAAGGTTATCTCTTTGGCCTCAAAAGAAAGAACAAATTAGTAAATTTGTTGGAAAATCCTTAGTGTGGATAGCTAAGGTAGTGGACGTAGACTTTAATTGAGAAAGTTGAACCACTTTAAATCGCTGTGCAATTACTTTCAATTTTCTGCAAAAGCTTCCACCAAATTTTTAATTGTCAATTCACCCCCTCTTGGCCAAATCCGTCAATCGATTAACTCAACATAATGTTTTCCGCAGTAAAATAAATATGAACACTTATATATATATATATATATATATATATATATATATATATATATATATATATATATATATATATATATATATATATATATATGTATCGATACCTTCTGATAACCAAAGTTTATTAGTTATTAAATTTATCAAATTTATCAAATTTATCAATATGATAGGTAGTGCTTTATCAAATTTATTAAACTTACAACATTATGAGTTTATCAATATGATAGATAGTGCTTTATCAAATTTATTAATTATCTTATTAAATTTTCTATCACTCTATTTTTTAATCGTATATTAATCTTTTTTTTTTAGACAACTCCCAACACTTTTTATTTCCCGAATTTTCACTTTACTGTTGCTGCTTTCGTGGGGATGTGACGATTTTTAATACGATTTATTCGGTACTTCACTTTTTTTTTTTTTGCAGGTCACGTAAATGTCCTAATCTCAATCCCGTTTGCCGCAATTCCTTCGGCGGTAAATGCTGTTTTTCCCCTTATTTTCTCTCTGGTTCTCCGGAAAATAAATGGAAATCGAACTGTATTTTATGGGGTAGATGATGCCAAGACTCAGCCATTTTCCTTTTGATGACTTGCGTTGACGACAAACTTCCTGATTCTTGCCACTGTCATCACAGCCGTCATTGTCCAACCTTTTCTGTTCACCAACACGTAAGTTTCAAAATTTGGTTAAAATAAGTTTATTATTTAAAAATATAGTACTAATTTTTAAATCATTGCTGATAAATACTAGACATATTAAATTTATATAGTTTTATTTGAAAATTTTAATTTAATTATTAAATTTTGTTCATTATCCACTTTTAAAAATTAAAAAATTTAAATTCTGACTATGATTGATTTAAATATTTTAAACAATTAAATTTATAAAATATATATTTAAAAAATTATTTGATTTAAAGTTTTTAATATATGCTTTTTATTTTTTAATAATAAAATTTAAATTATAATGAGTTAAAATTAAAAAAACTTTGACCAAAAATCCAATATAGAATAAATTTAATAAGACAAAAGGATTATTAAATATTGCCACACTCATACAAAATATAAACTTATGAATAAAGATGGATAGAGGGGGCGACTACTAACACAATTTTCCCTTTAAAAATTATTTTTATTTATCGTATATTTTTATTGATTTTCACTTCTAAAAATTTTATAAATTCATCATCTAAAATTTTAAAATTTTAATAAAAACTTGTATGATCATTCATCTATGCCTACGAAGAAAATAATACAAATATAATAAACATACATGATAGCAAATGAATTTTGACGAAAAATAATAACAATACCAATTAATATTTCAACATCTGATTCGAGTCCTTCACGAAGCTCATATTTTTTTTCTGTTGTTAAATGAAAAATATATCTATTATTCTCAAGACAATACCGAAAATTCGAATCCACGAAGACTTTATGAAGAAAAAAAAGATCATGAAGACTTTAATATTTAATAAAAAGAATAAAATAAAATAAAGATGTCGTGAAATTGACAGAGAATCAGACCTTGTTTCATATGCCGTTTGTTTTACATACATCGCAGTGTCGAAAAGGAATCTAGTGGGATTATCAATTAATAAGAGACCAAAATGGGATTTTAATTACCAAAGCCAATTATTACATCTAAAATGCATTTTTTTAATGCGATTTGTCGCTTAGAGCCGAACGAATTATACGAACAATTTATTAATAAAAATAAATAGGTAAATAATTATAAACGTGTATCTATCTGGAATGCCCTCATCCCCTCAAATAATAATTTAATTCTGGAAAATGATGGTCCCTTAATCATTGATCGAAGACTAAGTAGGCAAGAGGGACAAGAATGATGGCAACAGTTGTCTTGCCAAACCCTAATACTAAATAATACAAAGCTTATCTGATCCATTATGAAGTGATTAGTCTTAATTTAATTTTATAAGTGGAATCGATCATTCTAACTTAGTTTTTTAGATTCATGAGATGGATATTTAAATGGGATCCAACTTAAAAAAAACAATTAATTGGAGCATTCAAATGATAATCGAAAGCTTTTAAAAGGTGATATTCAAATTATTGGCCCAAAAGAGAGAAGAATTGTGTTCTCTATACATTTCGGCCTTTTGGGTGAAAAGAAGGAAGGAACTGATACCTGATGGAGTTGGACTTGTACATAATTAATGGAAAAGCCCGTTGGTTTATGCAGAACCATTCCGATATAAGCCCATATTATTCGACCCTATCTTCTCTTTAATAAAAAAGCATAAATCAAATGTTTGGTCACCAAAATTTTACAACTTCTTTTAATTCAATCCATAATTATTTTAGTCCATATTAGCCCCGAAACTTGGAAAATTTTCTCAAATTAGTCCCCAAACTTGGATTTTTATTTCTTCTAATGACCTAACACTTTGAAATACTATCATGTCATCACATTAATATATATATATATATACCAAGTGTCACAGACATAACGTCTCGATCCTGTTGTTATGCCGTGCGGCACTTGAATGGGACAACTCCCAGACAAGTCAGCCTTTCCCATCATAGATCCATGCCTCGAATTAACTCGTCATCAAGCCAAGTCGCAATGGCTAACAATCATCCCTCAGATCGCTAGACGATCCAACAGTATCCTGTCCGAACAAACAAGCCACACATTAGTCTCTCGCCACAATATAATTCCAAAGCCACAAGTACTCTAGGAGGGGAGATCCCACGGGGCATAGCGAATGCTAGTTGACAACCCCTCTCCTCAACCAAGAGCGCGATATGGGGCCCACTGGCCCCAAACCGTTCCTAGGTATCATCCTAGAGAGACACCGTACCATCCACTTGGTCCCGATGCCCGCACACCTAGGTTCCTCATGAACCTAGAAGAAGGTCGCTTACACATAGGTAGCTCCACATGCTAGCTCACGGGATATATATATATATATATATATATATATATATATATATTAAAATTTTTAAGTCATGATACAAATTAAAGCATTGCATCTTCCGAAGGATTAAAATTCCCGTATAAAGATTAAATTGAAAAGAATTACAGAATTCTAGACTGATTTGAATAAAAATTCAGTATCAAGTTAAGAAAAATTGTCTAGGGACTAAGATTAAAAGAATGTTACAGGTGTTATAATTTCGAGACAAATATACTTTTATAATAAAAGCAATTTATCGTGATTGCACTTGTCATAATTTCCCATGAATATATATTACACTATCTAAAACTAATAAATTTTACAGTATAATCCATAAATAAATATATTTTAACTCATAATAAAATAACCTCTTTGTACCCTAATCTCAAATCCTATACTCTAAAATCCCAAACCCAAAAATCATACCTCAATCCCTAAACCCTAAATCTTAACCCTAAAAAAATTATTTTACCGTGAGTAAAAAAAAGATTTATTTATGGGTTATAAATTTTAATTGAATCTAAAATATTTATTTATTTAAATTTAATGACTATAAATTAGTGTAAAAATTATTAGTTTTATATAGCTTAAGTGAATCCTAACCCCCTCTCGCTCTATATGTGTTTTTTTCAATAAAAAAAGTAAAAAAATAACTTGATGAAATATAAATTTCTATAACTCAAAAACAATTTATCAACTATATAATTATGCTTTAAAAATAATTTTATTTCAAAAAGTTCTTTTGACATTATTTATTAAAATACTTTCAAACCAAAAAAATAGAAATCTTTTTAAAAGTAAAATTTTATTTAATAATATTCAAGAGAATAATCCATTAACCATAAACAGTACCAATTACTACCATATTAACAATGCAATCCGAGAGAACATAAGCAAAGTAAAATAACCCCCAATAAAAAACGCCCACGATTCACGTTAGCAGTGCGTCGAATATATGTGATGCTAAACCAATCTTAAATGTGGATTTTGTGGAGTAAAATTTTAAAATTAATTGATTTACTATTTAAGGGATACCGTAACTTTCAAGCTAGGGGTAGGTTTTTTCTTTTTATTCGCTTACCTTTATTTGTTTTGTTCGAAATTCCCTTGCCTTTATTCACCTATATACATATATGTAACGAGAAACGCTGTGTCATATGATTCTCAGTGTTTGCTCATCGTTGAAGCTAAGAGAGCGATATCTGATGGATGCAGATAAGAGAACTTGTTTTTGGCTCGATCGAACCTTGTTGATGTTTATGCTTTACTGTGCCGTCCAGGGCAACAAACAACACTTCGTTGCCACGCTTGCTGCATTGATATTGCATGATTTCCTACTTTTCATGCTCAACCTCCTCCTCCATGATGTTTATGCTTTACTCTCAACTCACTTAAACAACTTCAAATCAACAACTTTCAATCAAAGCGTAAGTGCCTTTGCCCCCCCCCCCCAAACACTTTTATACTGCTCTTATTTATGTTTGATGAATTCTTGCAGGGTATCGATAACCACGTGAGAGAAAAAGGGGCACTCGAATTATGCGCAAAAGTGAAGGAAGATAAAAGAGATGGCGAAGGAGAGGGAAAGAAAGTTGCAGCATGTGAGAATTGCAGGGGGGTGCAAGAGGAAGAAGCAGTGAAAGCCAAAGGGAAATACAAGGATAAATACAAGAAGAAGTTGCTGCAAAGGGAGGAGAGATTTGAGAAAGTTAAAAGCTCGTTGAAAGATAAATACAACGAGGACCGAGACAAGTGGGAAGAAGAGAGAAAGCTGCTTAACAAAAAGTATCAAGAGATGCGCTGGACATAAAACCAAACAAATAAGAGAAGAAGAAAAATACCCTTTAATTATTCAATGTTAATCAGTTAGTTACAATTCTACAATGTGATGATTATGATTATTATAATGTATGTATGCATGTGTGCAATTATATAGAAAATTGTATGCATGTATGCATTGCATATATTACACAACACAAGAACCAAGAGGCAAATTATGAAATTCTAATTATATTCTGATAATAGATGGTGGAGATGTTCAAATTAAATCTTCTAACAACTAGAAGAGGATGATGCATAGAACACACTAACCCAGATAAAGCCGGCTCTCATTGTTCCCCAACTTGAAAACCTACTTATAAAACCCGAAAAAATAAGAAACTATGGTCATATCAACATTTAATTTAAAAGCTTCCCTATCATTCAAATGCCCATTGATTCTCCCTCCTAACCTCCTCCTCCTCCTCCGGAGTGAAATCATTCTTGATGTTGAACGTCTTGCGAATCTCCTCAGGTGTCTTCCCCTTAATCATGTCAGCCACAGTTTGGCAGGTCAAGTCTAATAAGCTTTTGATATTCAGATAGTTCGCAGCCTGCAAATCCCAATATCAAAATATTAGAAGGTTTAGTGCACTAATCAAAAGTTGACCACAACAACATAAGCAATTACCTACAGATTTAATAGTTGAATCAACATTATCAAGATCAATAAGTCATTGTTACAGCAACGTGAACCTTTTGGTACAATGAACAAAAATTACATTGCAAATAGCTACTAGCGTGCAGGGATGAACTGAAGGGGTGCTGGGAGTACTGATGCACTCCTGGAAATTTGAAATTCCCACATAATTTAGGTATTTCTAGTATAATTTCCTAAATTCGCACTCTGATATAAAATCATGCTTCCGCCTCTGCTTTGAAACTTAATTCCATATGATACTCAACCTTCTTTTAGAACTTATATTACATAACTCCAAACAAATTTTGAAGCTTTTAAACAAATTGTTTCACTCAATAAGTATACTAGTGTTCCCTAATTGAACGTAGGTAAATCATGGTTTCGGCCTACAGAGGAATAAACAGATAAGCATACGATTTCAATTAAACCCAACAGCCCTAAATTAACAGCGTTGTGAATTTCAAATACATAATTAGGGCATCAACAAGAACAAGAGAGTCAAATGAGGGGGAACTAACCAAGATGAGGTCAAAGAGGGTATTTTGGTCAACTTTGACAAAATCAGCATCCCAAGCCTTGATTTCATCCTCGGGGTTCTTTTCCTTGTCGGCGGCGGCATCGACGTGCTTCTTGCAGTACTCAAGGACCTTAGATAAAATCTTGCTGGTGACGTTCGGTAGGGGAATCTCGTTGTCGGCGCAGTCGTCCTCGATCATGTGCTTGATCGTCTGCGACTCGACCGCCACGGCTTCCTCCACCTCGAAAGTCTCGCCGTCGGAGCTCCTCAACATTATCTTCTTCGAAGTCGACGCCATTATTTCCTCCAAAAGATTCAATCACTTGCGATGATAGAAGCCCTTTCGGATTAAAAAGAGAGAAGGATCACAAAATTCAGAGTCAGCAGGAAAAAGCTAAATATTATAATAATTGTTTAATAGATGAAAATTATTTTTAAGAAAATATTTTTTTTCTCTGTTTGATAATTATAATTGATTTTATGGAAAATATTTTTTATTGTTTAATAGTTTTAATTAATTTTTTTAATGTAATTTATTTTTTTAGTTCTTTTGTATTTTATGTAAATTATTTTCTATAAAATTAATATTTTAATATACATATAATATGATTTTAATAATGTTACATTTTTAATATTATATTAATATACACTCAGATATATTATAATAATATATGATATTATTTTTAAATAAATTATTAATATTTATTTATTATTTTTATAATATAATTAAATTATTACTAATGAGTAATATTAATTTATATTTAATATTAATATTAATATAATAATTTAGTATTATGTTAATAAAATACTAATCATTAAAATTAAGGGTGTTCAAATGGTTAATTTAACCACCTATCGGATTGAATTACTATTAACCAAATAAACCAAAATTTTTCTTTAACCGTTAATCAAATCAATTTTTTTGAAAATATTAACCGAATCGAACTCTATTCCTTTTATGTAAATCATTTTCTATAAAATTAATTATAATATATCAAACAATTGAAAATGATTTACATAATATCATCAAAACATCGTAAAATAGTTTCTAAAAATTATTTCCCAAAAAATGTAATTCATTTTATTTAAAATAATTTATTTTACGTGAAACATTTTTCATGTAATTTATTTTACGTAAAACAGTTTTCAAATAATCTAATTCATGTAAATTATTTCCAAAAACTCTGATTTAAACGGGGGTATTTATAAAAGGGTGCAAGTACGAACGCTATCGTTTTGGATATCTAATTCAGAAGAGGTTTTCGATGTTTTTGTTCGTTTTGTATATTATCTACAACATATATATAAGCTTAAAATCATTTTTTAATAAATCATAATAAATTAATAATATTATTATAGTTTTTGTTATAGATCATAATTCATTAAACTTTTAAAATAATTATTATTTTTAAAAAATGAAATAAATAAATAAATCTTTAGATGCACTATAAAATTTATATTAAAAAGTAACGATGATAGAGGAAGCGTGGGAATGCTTAGAACAGCAGCTATCGCAGATGAAAACCACAGTAACAGGTTCCAACTTAAATAACGTGAGAATCAAGTTATTACCAAGACGTTTAGAGCAGCTAATGTTGCCATCCCCTCACGAGTCCACTGCATAAGCACGACGAAAAAAACATTACAATCCGATAGGTGACACCAACCCGATGCGTGAATCCTAGCAAACATTACCTTGAAGCAGAAGCAATGTGTGGTACGACGAGAGCATTCTTCATCTCAGCGAGCCCAGGTTTCATGAAAGGTTCATCCTAACACAACACCATTAATGAATAATTATGTACTAATCTGAGGGTGGTTATCATGTGGTCGATTGATTAGAGATTCAAAAGTTTGTAAACTCACCAGAAAGACATCAAGACCGACTCGGAACATTGGATTTTGTTTCAGATGCTCAAAAAGAGCTACTTCATCTACCACTGCCCCCTTGCTACAGTTAACAAGGATTGCTTTCCTGCAAAATTATAGTCCAATTCATATTTCCTTGAGCAAGACATATTTTCAAAGTTAAATGTTAATGAAAAAGAGAAGTTCTTAATCACCTTCTTCATTAATTGTTGCTAAGCTATCTTTGTTAACCAAATGATAGGTTGTTATATCCAAGATCGGGTGAAGACTTATCTAGAAAAAGAACCAGTAGCAATCCCTCTTAACTGGCAGCATAATTCAAACTTGCACTTCGAAACAACATTAAGTATTCTAAGCAAACAAAATCCTACCACATCTGCCTCCTGGAGCACCTCATCCATAGTCGATGATACTCTTTTCCAGTAAACGGGTTGCTCTCCATTGCTTTGCAAGAACTCACCATAAGCTGCATTAAGGAAACAAATCAGCATCACACAAAAAAAAAGTACTGAAAACTCGGCAACCCACGCAAAATGTTCCAAGACATACCCGTGACAAACTTCTCTAGCCGTGTTGCTTGGTAAAGATCATAGTAAATCAAGTTCATTTTTGAACCCTTCAACCTGTTAAAAGATGGGCGGAAAAAAATGGCTCCCATCAATGCAGCAAAGTTGGATCAAAAGTAAAATATGCCTTGGAAACTGCTTTCCCTTGCACTCTTATGTGGTATGTTGCAGATCTTAGGAGGTGAGATTTCGTCAAAGACTCACTAATCCGAACATCATTTCTATTTATATTCAAGGCTACAAAGATATGTGTCCTCCTAGAATGTCGAATAAATTATCTAATTCCAACCTATGTACATGAAATTCGGTGCATAATTTAGTAAGAGATTACCATCATTATGGCGTATGCAGATCCAATACGACCAGCTCCAATTACACCGTCTGTCCTTTAAGCAAGTTTCCCACAAACCTGCATGAGACATAATTGGAATTAGACAAGCATGATGTAAATGACATACGATTTTATCGTCTATGCATAGACATGATATATATATATATAAGGCATAGTTCGTGGATATACAGATGAGGGAGCCATCCATCATATAAGCCTGCCCTCATGAACTCATCTGCTTCAACGATTCTTCTAGCAGCTGCTAAACAAAGAGAAGCTGCTAGCTCCACCGTTTTTTCTGTGAGTACCCCCTACACCAAATTAGAGTATTAGCACAACATTTCTACCCCAAAAATACTGAAACAAATTTGAAAGCATTTTCCATAAGGAAAAAAGCTTCCATTTCCGTTATGAACAAGATAGGTATGTACTAGTAACTACTTATGCTGCAAGTTTATTTATTGTTTTAGCATTACAGTGAGCTGTCTATGACATATAATCCAACACATGGGGCTTAGCACTCATCAATGAGACGGAAACTTAAAGCTGTTTGCAACTGTGGGAAAGTGAATTTACAGGAGTATTGCCAACAGCAACACCATACTTGTTGGCAGCATTAACATCAACATTGTTGTAACCAACAGCCATGTTGCTGAAAGCTTTGCCTCCTGCTCTGCTTAAGGCGCGAATAAAGTGTCCCCCCAGTCTTCAGTTAACTGTAAACACAAATTCCCAACTTTAAAAAAAACAAAAAGAAAAACACTTGCAACTAAAACCAAAGTCCTGTGAAGAATTCACCTGTCCTATCACCCCATCGCACTTATCGCCAATCAAAGCAATGATATCGTCTACAGACAGAATTGTTTTCTTCTCGGTACATATCTGAAAATAAAATCAACAGGATTATATCAAGAAGAAGAAGAAAGATTTCAGTTGGCAAAACAAACGAAAACAGAGGATTTAGAGAAGTGAAATGCATAATTACTTCGACACGGCAATCTTGCTCGACCAAGAGGTTGATCCATCTAGTTCCAGGCATGGGTATTGTGCTGAAACTCTGTATTTTCCATTTGGGTTCCACACTTCAATCGAAACTGGCTTCGCCATTGAAACTAGTCACTTTAAAAAAAACTGAGTGAGCTGGAAATTGAGTTTTTCAAATTTCAGTTTAATCTGTTTCTTGCCTTTTATAGCGATGGTTGGGTGTGTTGAGGGACACATAATTAAAATGGTCTGCAACGGAATCATTGGTGAAATGAAGAGGTTTGTTGAGTATAACCGTTGATGTTTTGTAATAACATGTGGAACAAGATAAGGTTGTTGGTTTGTGGAACATGTGATTTTGATCCTTTCGGATACAGGGATGGACAGGTTGAGGGCTGCGGTGAGGGTTGGGATGATGCTTTTGGTTTTGTGGTATAAGTTCATTGCTGACATGTCTTTTGCATATGGGTGACACGTAAGATAAGCATCTATCCATTTTACCAAATGACGGAAATAGCCTTTGATTAAGTGGACAAACTAGAGATGACCGATTGATAATTTGATACAGAAAATTAGAGAAAAGTTTTAATGGGTAAAAGAATATAGTGTTTGGTGAATTATTTCGTGATTTATAATATAATATTTATCTATGGTTGTTTATTAAATTAATTTAGTATTAAAAATTTATATGCATTTAATAAATAAATAAACACAATATGGGTGTGTTCAATTTGTTTATATTAATAGATAAACTTGTTTTCATGATTTTCTTTTTGTTTTATTTTTATAAACAATTAAATTGTGAATTTTGGAGTCAAATTGTGAAGCCTAAGGAACTTAAGGTCTAGTGGTATAATTTCAACGTGTTTGAACATATAAACGAACATATTCGTAAATGCTAAATGAAATACGAACGTTAAATAAACATATTCGTGAATGCTAAATGAACTGAACAAGAATATATTCAAAAATAAACAAACGACCATAATATTAATAGCTTAAATGAACATGAACCGAACATAAACACTTTCACTAATAAGCAAAGAACATAAATAAAATCTTATTGATTAAATTTAAACACGACACCATATAGATACAGCTGCTTAAACTTAAAATCTTTAGGAAGAATAATATTCTCTTTGACCACGTAGATGAGTTAAGATACATTTTAATATTAAATTCAAGCTGACGAATAAATTACTTTATTTAGTGACATAATGAGAAAAATATTTTAGAGATATTGAGTAATTATTTTATAAAAAATATATTAAAACAAATAAGATTATACAAAATTATACGTAATTGAATACACTTTTAATAAAACTATATTGTATTACATGAAAATAAAATCTTACTTTAAATCTACAATTTATTTACAACTTTCAACGATTTTGTTAACATTATTAGCATGGATTAAGATTTGATATCAATAAGATTGATTAAGATAACATTTATTTACTATAATGTTGATATTTTCTGCTTTGAGTTATCGATTTGGATTTGAATACACAATTTGCATTTGTAAATAGCTTTTCCATTTCGCTCTATTCTTATTTGTAATTTATCGGTAGCCTTTCAGTAGTTTTATCTAATTTTATGGTTCTTTTGTCAATGCGATCAAATATGTTCGTATCTATCTTTTGTTCAAATTTTTTAGTTAAATTTTTAACATTTTCCTTGTATGATCATTGTGTAATCTTAAATTATGTTAATAATTATAAAAATATCATAATTATATGATTTATTTACGTTTATGATCGTAAATATTTATTGTGATTTTAGATATTTAATCTTTTTAAGACTAACATTTTGTATAAGAAAACTACTAGCAATTATCGGTGACTTAATGTCAAGAACAATAGTGAATATAAGTTGAAATAAAAACAACTCCTAAAACAAATTTTTCTTTTTTTTTTCCTTCTAATTTTTTTTATAACTATTAACAATAAGAAATAAAAATATTCTTCATTCAAAATCAATAAACCTTTTTAGAAAATGCTAGCAATTGGTTTTTCTTCTTTCTCAAAAGCTTTTTATTGTCATTATTATAATTATTTGCAATAGTAATAATAATCAAGAATTTATTTTAAGTTTTTGTACCAAAAAATTATTTAAAGTTTTAAACTAGTTAATATCGCATCGATGAACGAATATTACTAATATGTATTTATATTATTACCAAGTTTTTGTCTCTAACGTGTTGTTGACGAACGAAATTCTCATGATGTGAAAGATAGTCGAGAACGTTCGTCGCATCCAAACGTAATCAACCTCCATGACGTTTATGAAGATCAAACAGACGTTCATTTAGTACTGAAGCTTTGCTTTGTCGGTGACTTATTCGATCGGGTCATCGTGGAAATGAGGTACTCATAGGCTGACACAGTGATGGTGGTGTGGCAAATCACGCAGGCCGCAGGGGTTAACGGTGATTCATATGGATCTAGAATAAGAAAATTGCTTGTTCTTGAGCAAAAACAAAAATTTGACATTGAAAATCGTGGAATGGATTTTGTATTGAGTTTAGTGGATGAATTCATGGATCCAATTATCGGGTTTTTTCATCCATTGATTATGTTTTGACGGAGGCGCTTTCCCAAGGGAAAATCACCACGAAGAGTGATATCTGGTTATTGTGTATCTCAATCTTTGGAAATTGAATTTTATTTTGTATAACTGAGATTACACAACTTCATTTTATCTCTAGATGTCTACCCTCTCGTTTTTCTCTGAACTTGTGGTGCTATTATTTATTATTGAAATTTGAAAATCATTCATTATACTTAAAATGCAACATGAGTCCTTGAAAGAAGGCAAATGGAGTAATGGAGCAGAGATGCATAAAGAAGAAGCAGGGAGAAGGTGAACAACGATGAGGTTGGGAAGAAAATCCATTAAAAATGGATAAATTGAAATTTTATCTCTAAACTAATTTGAATTTACAAAAAGACACATAATCAGTATTTTGTCTAAAGTGCATGGGTTAAAATAAAAATTAAATCATTTTACTAATTGGTCGCGTCATCAACAATCTAATGACATTCAATGTCCAAGTGACCAAAACTTAATAAAACGATAACGTAAGTGACCAAAACTTATTTTTTTTAAAATTTAGTGAGCAAAGTGTACAAATATGAAAGGAAAGTGACCAGAACTTATTCCACATATTATCTATGTGGAAATGATGTAATTTTAATTTTATATATTTACTGTGACACGTCAGCAAACCGTTAAAGACTTAATGACCATTAACCTTCAGTGACAATATCTTAATTAAAACGAAACTAAAGTGACCAAATCTTATGTTTTTTGAGTTCAGTGAGGAAAAATTTATAAAACTCAAACGAAAGTGACTATTTTTTGTAGTTTACCCTTAAAACAATTTCATATGCATTCATATAATATACTTGAGTGGATCCAATCGATTGTCTCTGGCTTTTTTCAACCTAATTTTCTTTTAATATATTTGGGTCATCTTTTTTATTTTTGATTTTTATTTAATTGACGGCGGCATTAATCTTAATGTTGGTTGTTGACCGTCAGTGACTATTAGTTCTCTTATTTTTTATATTGTGTATTTTATTTTTATTTTTGAGTCTTTCTACTGAAAATCCCTGTCAAAGCTGGCATCCCATGGACGTGGGATACTTCTGTTATGCACTTGTCACATTTAGCATAGGATTTTCAGTTTATTAGGTATTAAGTTCTCTGTGAAAACTTTTCAGGCAATCACAGCTGGGACGTTTATAGCACTCTCTGCCATTATCATGCTCTTGATCCAACCAATTTTTACTCCAGCAGCTTTTGCAACCTTTCAAACTGGAGCTACAGCCGGTGGAACTGCAGCTGCTGCAGTGGGGGGGGGGGTGTAATACGTGCTAAATTACTAAGTAGTGCGGTTTCTGGTTTCTTTGCTGGTTGCTTACACACCCTATCAGGGCCGGACCACCTTGCTGCTTCGGCTCCACTATCTATTGGTCGGACTCGAATGGAAAGCGCCGTTGTTGGAGCTCTATGGGGTTGTGGCCATGATGCTGGTCAGGTTATTTTTGGTTTGCCATTTCTACTTCTAAAGGATCGCCTCCACATTGAAATTATCCAGACTTGGGGTACAAGGGTGGTGGGCTTTACATTGCTTGTTATTGGGGCTATGGGTATAAAAGAAGCTTCAGAAGTTCCTACTTGTGTAGCCTTAGAAAATGGTGAGTGTGATGTTAGCGTTTATGAGACACCTGAAAACCCGGTAATTTGGAAAAAGAAGATTGGTTTTGCTACTTTTTCCACAGGGATTGTTCATGGATTGCAGCCAGATGCACTGATGATGGTTTTGCCAGCACTGGCTTTACTGTCTCGCCTGGATGGTGCTGCATTCCTATTCATGTTCTTGCTTGGAACTGTGGTAGCAACGGGAAGCTATACAGTGTTTATAGGCTCTTGCAGTCAAGCATTAAAGGGTAGGGTTCCCAGAATTACTGAAAAACTTACATGGGCTTCTTCTATTGTAGCCATCGCTCTTGGAGTAGCCATCATCGTAAGCCAATTTTTCGGATTTAGTCTCTATTGATCTACCTGACACTCCATCAAGATATTCATCCCAGCTTCTTTAGCACTTTGTGAAGATGTTAGAAAGCATTTTCGGATTTATTTTCAGCAATATTTTATCTGAGAGCATCTTTGCACCAATTACCTTTTGTTGTTTCCTTGTGGAACAGTTCCAAAAATTCTTCCATTACTATAGTCAAAATCTTGTGTTTGTTAAGCCATAAGTAATATATTCCTTGAATTTATTGATGCTAGTTTACATCATAACAGTGGCTATGCTAGCAACATGGAAAAAAAACCACTTACGTCCCCTTGTCACGAGATACAATGAGCACCATATTGTGCTCTAAACTTTGCTTAGACTATTTCTGGATAAATGCACCCACTTTGCTCGAGTGATGCCAAAAATATTCGAAGCAAAGTGAGCACCATATTGTGCTCTAAACTTTGCTTAGACTATTTCTGGCAATTAAGCTTTTAACAGTACCTTGTCAATTGAGATTGGGCAAAACACTTACCATTCATATTCATATTTGATCACGGCTAAATTTAAAATTAAATCACTTGGACTTCAGTTTCAAGAAATCTGAATCTACATCTCAAGTCTCAACCCATAAGAAACAGAAAAAGTCAAGGATGCCTTCTCACCCTGAACAAATATTTATTTGGAATGCGAGTCATCAGTGTCAACATCTATACATTAATGTCACGGATATATGCACTCGATGCTAGAAACAAAACTCTGCTCTTGGAAACTCAAATTGGTTATGGCTTCTGCTTTTTTTCAGTGTCGTAAAGCACACATGCGTCTGCTGCTGTCTTCATCTGAAACCACCAAATAAACTCTACTAAGATGCAGATCATACAACAGTTTAATTGGTGTGATGCTCGAGCAAAATCAATAAACCCCTCAAGAATTTCATTGGTTAATTTGGAATTAACTAATATAAGGTGAGAAATTTTCTTTTTAAATCAGAACCAGTGATGTTTCTATTGGAAACCAACATGTGTTTTATCTTCTTTTTTTATAGGAAAACTTGTGTTTTATCTTAACTAGGAGGTTCAGCTCAAGATCAAACGTAAAAGTACAGGTCAAAACGCAAGCATCTTTTTTCATGTCACGTTGAATACTAAGTATTCATACATCCATATAAAGTCTAGCATCAATTTGATTCCCGTCTTATATACCAAGTTAGACCATCTGAAGAACCATTACAACAATTTGACTGGAAGTGCAGAATTAAATTGATGCAAGTCCGATTAAGTTATAAAGCATATGTGGCTCTACCTGAATAATATTGATGACCTGCTTGATTGAACATCCAAATAAGCTTATACCAACAAGAATAGAAAGAGGTGACCTCTCTTTCAAGGTAGTCACTACAACCTGAAATGAAAAAACATGAAGCAGTTAGAAATCAAAACACAAAGGGATTCGCTCTTCAAATGGGAAAGGAAACATTACACAAGAATCCAGACTCACATCCATCAAATCTTCAGTATGGTTCTTCGAAATAAGAAATAAGGCTATGTAAAGAACCTGTAAAACTCAAGATTTCTTGCTCAATACACAAGTAACAAAAACATGGCAATGCAAATAGATGGAATGAATTATAAATTTATAATTACCTCGCAAGCCACACAACAATAACCCATAAACATCCTGTTTCCATAGTAGAGCTTGAAAAGCCAATTGGAGCTGTCTTTCACATCTTTATGACTAGCCTTACCCACTAGAAATGAACTGCAATATAATATATAAATATGAAGAGTTAACAAGGAAAGACATACCCGAGTTTTATAAAATTACGGAATGAAATATGTGTTTCAAGGAAAAGGAGCTACCTGTACATCTGCAGCCAGTGGCTAGCAATATCTAGGGCTAGCAAAGACAAGAAAACCAAGCTAGGCCTGCATAGAACCGTGACAGATATGGCGGGATGCAATTATATCAATTTGGCAATATAAACACAAATGAATGGAATGGAAAACTTACCTATACACTTGAGAAAGTATAACCAGTAGACAAGCGGTGCTAATCCTGAATTACATAATCGAGAAGAATCACTATGTAAACAACTACGTAATTCAAAGTTTCTACCGGCACTTACTGAAAAAAATTACTAAATATGTGCTGAGGTATCCCAGAAGCTCAATGTCTATCACAGATGGAGATAGTGTACCTATCTGTTACCATGTCCAGAACAGCTCCAAATGTCGAAGCTGAGAAAAAAAAATCATATTTTGTATCTCAGAGATGCTGTTTCAACGGTGCATACCTTCCTTTTAACATCCCACAAAGAATGATAATTTAAGTAACTAAATTCCTCTCTGTGCTATATTTTATCCTAAATTTAGAATGTGCCATCTTTACATTATTGCTTGGACTACTTTCACAAGTTTTAAAGATCAAAAACCATACCTTGGTTGAATTTGCGAGCACACCAACCATCCACAGCATCACAAACAAAGCTGCAATCCCAAATTTGATCATATTCAAGTCTATCATTTCTCAAAAGCAGACAAAGCGTACAATGTTGATGCAATTCTCACCTTAGAAAATAGAGAGCAGAAAAAAGTCTTTTGCTGGAAAAGCATATAGCAAAAGCATAGCAATTCAAGAGAATTCTTATATAACCTACAATCAAAAATGATTTTTTTTTATAAAATTAAAAACCCAAAGAACCCAAGATGGAATTTTTTCATACTTAACCACAAAAAAACTTTTAAACTCAAACACCATTAAGAATTCAAAAGTGAAGAAGAACTAACCAATAATATTGGGAATGTAAAGATAAACCGAGAGCTGGCTTGGTTTAGGCTTAGGTTTAGACTTGTTGGCCATTAAAATTTATCTATAAGAATAAAACCTGCAAGAAAAACAATGGATTAAAATAAATTGAGAGTAACAATTAGCCTAAATAAGGAGAAATTGGATCTGGGTACGACCTGGAAGAGCAAATAGTTGAAGTTTTTTGGGTGAAGTGCGGATTTTTATGGAGAGAAAAACAAATACGAATCTGAGAAATGTGAAAGCCCTTACCTTCTCAGCCAAAGCTTCTACGAATATATTTATTTTTCACAGCCTTTGAACCGATTCCTTGCTTAAAGATTTAGTCTTTGTTTAATCTTAATTGGGAAAACAATAATCTTTAAACTTGCTCGTGGAATAATTTGATAACCGTCTGGTAATCTTTGGAGTTAATAAAATACAGTTCTTCGAGCTCTTTCATATGTGGCTCACTTGGGAAAAGATTATTCTCTACACAAACAATCCTTCATTTATTCTTTGATTATTTAATTATAGCTATTTTTATTAGATGATAAGAGAATCCAGCAAATATAGAAATTAATTGTAGTAAAGTTCGCCTACAATTTTATACCAATCCCAAATGGCGTACACCCTGTAAATCAAGGGTAAATATACATTTTGATACTTGAATTTAGTTTTAATGTTCAATTTCATACCTAAACCTTTCTTTGGTCTAATTAAATGTTTGAATTAGATTTTTAGTGTTCAAATTAAAAGCTAAATTTGATTTCTTGGCTTAAATTTGTATCTGAACTCTATTTGGCTTAAATTAAAAGTTGAGTGCTAGTTAAAAATATTTGAAATAGATTATTATGTTAAACTTATACCCAAACTATAAAAATGATATAATATTATATTAATAATTTTAAAATTAAGAAATAAATCATTCTATAAAATATGATATATTGTATTAAACAAAATGATTATAATCCATACTTAATTTTGAACATTTTACGAAAATAAATATATATAAATTCAAAACTTATGAAACTTAGATATTAAAAATTACATAATTTATTTATAGTTTTGCAAGAACTGAAAACAATAAATTTTCTCACCAGTCACAGCCAAACCCAGAAATAATAGCCCAAAAAAATATCAAAGGATCAGTCAGTGACTCATAATGAGTAATATATCATTGCAACCAGTCCACCACTACCTAGTCAATAATTTCAAGATCTGATCCCTGTAAATGTCTGTTCAATTCATTTTTCTGTTTCTTCTTGTTTAATTACAGTGTCTAATATGCCAGTACCACCTAAAAAGCGCAACCAAACAAAAAAAACTAATCAACTTCCACATGGCTTACTTGCCTTCATCCATCATCGTCGTCAAGATCAGATCTCCCCCTTACTGTCTTTTTTCTTGTTTTGTATTTTTACGGGTAATTTTTTTTCCTAGGAAACCAATGCCTCTATGCTACCTTTCTTAGCTGTTTTACAAACGGGGCAAGAATCAAGAAAAACCGCGCAATCTTTGCACGAACAGAGGTGCCTGCACGGGAGGAACAGCACGCACGAACCTCGACGGTAGCAGCATTTGCAAACCATTGTTCTTTCTTCTTCGTCGAGTTCTTTTCTTTGATCGACTGGGAAAACACTGTTGTTGTTGTTGTTGTTGTTGTTTTCCTCCTGTACGCATTCGCAGCAAGATTCTGCATCGTCAACGCTGTTGTTGAGCCGACAAGAGGCTTGCTCCCGTAGCCGTTCGAGCCGGTTGTTCAAAGAGAGAACCATGGCTTCATTCTCCTGCGCCACTCTCTGCCACGCTTGACCCTCCATCTCGAGTCTTCCCAACAGATTCTGCAGCTCCATTGCTTTGTTATTCGCCTTTGCAATCTCTTGGTCTTTTTGGTTGAGTAAAACACACGCCCTCGATTCCATCTTCTTCGCCATTAAAGCCAACTGCTGCTTTCTCTGCTCTTGCACCAACAATCTCAGCCTCTCATTCTACAATCAAAAGAAAGAAAATTAACAACCCAATTGAAAAGAAATCCCAAGATCGAATTTCCCCCCTTCTTTTTTGTTGCTAACCTGTGATTTGATGAACTGATGAACCTCGGCTTGAGAAACCATGTTTTGGCTAAACACCATGGATTCAAGATTCTGGTTTCTCTGCTCCTGGTTTTGTAGATACTGAAACTGCTGCTGCTGTTGTTTCAGTTGCTGCAAGTGCGATAACTGGTGAACACTTAAACCGAAACCGGCACCGACACCGCGACCATTATCGATCAAATCGAAAGAACCGCACAATGGAAAGCCGACGTTATCAGAATACAACTGCGCTTGTACAGCCATGTTCCCCTTCTTCAACCACCAAACAAAAACAAAACAACACCCCAAAAGAAACAATCTCTCTTTTTAATCCTCAAATCGAAATCCGGAATGGGTTTTTGCAGTTCGGATCAAAGAAACTCTAAAGGACACAAGAAAACAAAAAGACGGTGAAGGGTGTTGGTGTGTATTTATAAGAGAGAGGGAAGGGTGAGCTCACATAATGGGTTTTGATTTTAGTTTATAATTAAATGAAAAAGCAAGGATGGAGCGCATAGGATACTATGATAACGATCGTATACGAATGCAGATGCCACGTAATCGACGTAGGTTTTATGACTACGCCTATTGTATCAATAATTCAAATGTCAAATTTGGAATTAGATTAAATGGTATTTAATAATAATCCAATCATTTGAAGGTAACCGAAAGTCTTATTTAGCTTTGCCGCCACCGGGGTAGATCAATGAACCACAAATTTATAATTATTTATCAATAATTCTTGAAATATTCTATTTAAATAATATGATATTTGAGTTGTTAAAAATACATGTTCTAAATTTGATCAAACTCATATTAGTACGATAAAGTTTCGGATACTTGAATTTCTCGGTTTGTTGTTTTTTTGAAATACTCGTGATCTAAGTATGCAAAACTTCTTTTAACAGTCGTACTGACGTTTGTTTGATGAAATTCAAGACTTTTTTGACAACTCAAAATTAACAACTTTGTAATAAAATTTACGAATCTTGCATTGTTTAAATATTAATTTTTGGCGTGTTTAAATGCAACTTCTTTAACATGTATTCATTGACGACCGAAGGCAAGTTCATACATATACGTTGTTATCGTTCGATTTTTCATATGTTTAATCATTTCTCTCTCATTTTTGTTTTGATCCTTAAATACGAAACTCTTGTCGAACGAGTGTTATTATTAATTTTTCGAGGATGATATTTAAGTAAGAAAGGCAATGTCATGGAATGTTTTTAGAAATATTTCTAGCCCGTTAAAGTCAACAAAAACGAAGGGTTTACATTCATGCACCCCATCGATATTATTGTTGAAGTTAACAACTACATTACTGGTTCGTGTAACAATTCTTAACTTGGTAGTTTCATGTCGAATTTCAATATCTTGTCCTATTTTTATAATATGACATTCTATTTCTCGTCAATGAGTTTGTGCTTATCGGCTCAATTGAATCAACACATCACATCACGTAACACAAGTGGTAAAATATTTTACATGTTTATATTAGGTTTAGAGGAGTGATTTGAAATAGGGAGAAGCTGAAACTGACATAAATGGCAGAAGATAAGTTGTTCCTGGAAATGTAGAAAGAAAAACGGACTGATTAGCATCGAGAATCTACAACTTTTTATGCCCCAACATCATCTGTCACTCCGAACTCACAGTCACAAACCCAAAAAATTCACGAAAAAACTGTCCAATGTCAGCAAGATTCTAAAGAAAACATCGGTTAAGCAAACGCATTTCCCAAGACCAAATGCAAGTACCGTCACATAATATTGAAAGCGTTATTTCCGTTCCTCATTCGTAAAGGAAGCAGGGAAGAAACATGGTGGTCATGTGAACACTGCGAAGGGATTCTTCAAGATCAAAGCTTTAAACCAAAAGTTCTTAGCTTTGCTAACTTCACTTCATTGACCACAACACACAATCCAAACCCCTATTCTCGTATGTTGTGACAAGTGTTTTTCACTTGTGTATCTCAAGATCACAATTACCCTGCTTTTTCCTAGTTTTCCCATCTTGTCTTTTTTTTTTCAACTTGATAATGATTTGTGTCGGGAACACTGTCAATGCTTAATTAGTGGGTCGTAACAATCGGTGATTAATGCACTAACTAATTCTTTAGAGAAAAGAGGTTTAGGGTTCACATTTCATTTGGACACGTTAAAAAAGAAAAAGAAAAATATATAGTTTAAGACCCTTCTTTTTTAGATGAAGCTGCCTGAGTTTTGGTTAAAAATGCAATGTATGGATGGAGCTTTCGTTTCTTGGAAGGTGGGGTTGTGGTTTTCTACGTGCCTTACTACACGCATGCATTGACTCAATCCCCCTTTTATTAAGGTATTCATTGATTAATTTTCCATTTGTCTATCTAACACATGAGTTGGTGAATGATTAAGAGAGTTGCTTTTGTCTAATTATGGTTTAGCCCCTCTATCGTTATAATAACATTATTAGGTACACATTAGAATAACACTTTTAGTTAATGTCTGTTAAATTAATCACGTATATTTTCTTAAAATATTTATTGAATAGTCTGAGCTGATTAGAAAATAACATTTATTTATAATCTTTTACAATCATTGTCGATGTACGTACTATGCAAATGTAATTATTCGTTGTGACTTCTCGGTTTAAAATCAATATTCGACTTTTTTTCTTAAAGAATATCATTGTTTATTTCAATTTTCAAAAATCCCAATCTCAAGTTCAAAATCAATTCAATATTCGAACAAACACAAATTTGAACATTTACACCAAAACCCATTGAAGAAATTGACAATTCAAAGCCAAATGTTCAATATTCGACTTTCGCTCTCATGAAATTTTGGGAAACAAATAAATGAATAAAAACAAAAATTTGGGTTTTTTTTCTAGTAAGAGATGATATTAACGACTCCTAAGAGATTGTTCATATGACACAAGTGTCACACCCTTAGAACCTTCAAGCCCAAATTGTCGCAATATCAGAGTTAAGGTCTGACGGGTCGTGCGGCCTTAGACGTTTCTCGACACTTCTGGGTCTTATCTACGACTAAGTAAGCCTTACCCAAGCCTAGTGAGCACGCAAACTCACAAAGGTCAGAACCAAGCCCTCAAGGCTTCTAGGATGCGGAAGCTTTAACACCAACGTGGTTACTCCAAGCCACCAAGGTTGAACTATGGTGTGGAAGTGCAAACACAAGCGTGGTTACTCCTAGCCACCAAGAGAGGCAACAAGCACCAAGAGAATAAAGAACAGAGAACAAAAGAACTAGAGTAAATGCCTCAGAGCTTTATTACTCTCCAAAGAGAATGAATGGAAAGAGATGTTTGGATGGATTATTCAAATGAGGAGGAGAGACTCTCTATTTATAGTTAAGCTCCTTCTCAATCAATGGCCTGATCGATTTACATCAACGGCTAAGATCTGCCCAATTAATACAAGATCCCCCAAATTAAGGGATTGTATCTACAAGATCTTCTCTTAACTAAGGAAACTCAATCTCGTCCTACCTAATTACATCAATTAGTATGATTATTTCCTTTGATGAGAGTTCACACTGGATATGGTAAGAATCCTCCACAATCTCTATTGATTTTTTATCTCTTGCCATAATTACCGAGCTCCTGTGATCATCTTCGGATATAATGCCACTTTCCTTTTCTGCACGACCAATGTGAATGGGCTCCACAACATTCTCCAAGTGATGGGCCAAGTCTGGTGGTCTTGGCAAGCCCACACTCTGCATAAAACCTCTTTAGCAGACACTTGCACCAATGTCCCAGACCTAAGTATCACGGCCTGTGATATTCTCCCCCCACAGAACTTAGCGACACCCTCGTCGCTCCACTCGATGATCCTAGGCAACATCACCTCGGACACTTCTCAATGCCTTGGCTTGTCACGGTCTTCCCATACGAACTGCTTGCCTTGGCTTCTGTCGCATGGCACTTCATGATCCTTCGCGCCATACTTCACATCAACTTGGTTGCCTTTCAACGCCTCCACTTGCTCACGTCCCCCCATAAAGACTCGGTCTCTCCATAAAGGTTGTGCTTACTTCGGCTCTTGCCGCCAAGTGATTAAATAAGATAACATGCCCACAAATACATATCTGTCGTAGGAACCCTTTCCTACAAGTCCTGGTCCTGCGGCAAAGTCTTGGATCCCATCCAAACTTTGTTTCCTCCGCGCTAAAGGTTAAGTCTTACTCGACCTACGCTCACTAAAGACAACAAATCAAACTCAAATGAACACTAGAATCGTGTACAATCATTGTTTATAATCTTTTATAATCATTGTCAATGTACGTACAATGCAAATGTAATTATTCGTCGTGACTTCTGGGATTAAAATCAATATTCGACTTTTTTTCTTAAAGAATATCATTGTTTATTTCAATTTTCAAAAACCCCAATCTCAAGTTCAAAATCAATTCAATATCCGACCAAACACAAATTTGAACATTTACACCAAAACCCATTGAAGAAATTGACAATTCAAAGCCAAATGTTCAATATTCAACTGTCGCTATCATGAAATTTTGGGAAACAAATAAATGAATAAAAACAAAAAATTGGGTTTTTTTTTTCTAGTAAGAGATGATATTAATGACTCCTAAGAGATTGTTCATATGACTCAAGCATGATCCTTGCCTCAACTGAAAGTGTGAAGGTACCTTTTTATCAAGACACACATCATTTTGAATAGTATGAATATTAAGACATCTGAATTTAGTCAGCTTTAAATGTTTTAACTTTATCTCTGCTTTTGTTAATGCAAAATCCATCTCTACGAATTTAATTAAGGTTATGTTTAGAAATTTTAGATTTAAACATGACATCTGTAAAGATACTTGAACCTTTATTATAAAATAATTGAAAATCTCTTAAATAAATGTTACTTTGTAATCACTCTAAACTAATAAAGAATAAATGTATTTTTTATTATTGAGATTTAAATTATCTTCCTTAGACTCACATAATTACATTAAATATATGTAGAAATATGCGTGTATATATAGGGTAAATCACATTAACAGATTATTTAACTATGGATTTATAAATAAACTGTTCATTTAAAAAAAATTAAACATGTTCATCGATTAAAATATTGTTACAAACAAGTCATTTGTGACTACCATTAGAAGGAAATAGTAATATGACTTGGTAAAATAAAAAATTTATTCTTCAAAATTTATATAATCTATTAATTTGCTCCTAATTCGAAACAATCTAATAAATTTAATCTTTGATATTTAAAAAATTATCATTTTAGTCTTTGTTGTTCTCTTAGATTGCATGTCATTTCCCCATAAATGCTATATTAATTTATTGATATAATGACAATTTAACAGTAATTTGTTTTTACTTTATGTTAGAATGAACTTATCCAACTATTGTTTTGATGTGATGGGCTCCTTTGGTTTGATAGTATTGTAAAAAAGACTAAATTTAAATAATTTTTTAAATGTGAATGATTAAATTTATTGAATTGTTTTGAATTCGGAAAAAATGATAGAATGTATAAGTTTTAGGGACTAAAAATATTATTATACCACACCACATTAGACATTAATTTAAAATTTAAAGATAGGTCGATATGTTTGTAACAATATTTTAATTGAATGTCATGTTTGTAACTTTTAAAAGAACAGTGACATGCTTGAAACTAAAACAACAATTACATGACCATGGGGTGTAGTTTACCCATAAATGTGTATATATCTGGGTATGGTCTCCACAGCAAAACCTGCTGTATTTGGGGCTTTCCTTGTTTGTGTTTGTGTTTGTGCAGCAAGCACACATGCATGCATGCATGCTTCCAGCAATTAACCATTAACTATGTATATATATATATGTGTATATATAACACAAAAAACAAGCCACTGTTACACGTGGAACTCTATGGAATTGCACTGGAAACCTATATTTGTTTAAATATATCTGCAATTATCCATGTTACAGGCTACATGACATATATATATATATATATAATAAATGCAAAGACGGGATCCACTATGTATGCATTTGCAAAATGGGAAGGCATTATTGGGTACTCCATCCACTAGAGAGGAACATTAACAAATAAGTTGAAAGTTTGAGTCTTGGACGCAAAAAAAAGAATATTGCTGTAAAAAAGAGGTCGCAGTTAATGAGCATCTAGTTTATTTCAACCCATTTTTCTGGGTTATTGTGGTGGGGGTGGCCATCCCATGAAGGCAATAAATAAATTAGTGGTGGTGTCATAATAACCAAAAATAAAAGAAAATGGGCTTCCTTTTTGTTCCATTTTTTTATATGTTCATCATCGTCATCAAGAAAAAGAAGAAGGGGGTTGGTTAATGTGAGCAATGCACAATGTCAGCTGATTTCACATTTTTTCTGCACACGCAACTCATCTGTGGAGTCCATGCCCATGACTGATTCTCGTGCAACTTTGACCGCATATACGTGGATCAACACTCTTTCTCCATGAACAACAAATTTTATATTATGAAATAAATTTTTAAATTTTTTAAAATAGATTTTTTTATAAAATTGTAGGAGATAAAAATATATGATAATGGGAAACTTTTAAGAACAATGCTATCCCTACCCTTATCCCTTTGGTTTCATTACAGCAAAGCAAGCAAGATCTGCGTTTTTCTAAATTTGACTTATTCTAGGTTTCCAAGAAAGTCACTTCCCACCATAACCTACACAACAGCATTTGACCCTAGGGGTCATGAGATAGAGAGGGTGGTCCTTTTCCTCTTTTCTGACGTTTTGAAAATCAAACAACAAACAAATCCCACTTACATTCATGCGTATCCCCATCCCCCATGTTTTCAACTTTTAGAGATTGAATTGTAGACCAAACCAAGTCTTGTGTTACCAAAAAGCACTCCTGACCTCACCCCCTTTCTATGACTCCACTCTACATCGTAAAGAAACAAGAGCTTTTCCTCGGAAAACGCTCTAGTCGGTGGCGTTTTGGCTACATCGAGTAGGAAGAAGAGCTCTTTATAACCTCAGCCTATAACACTAACGGTTGATGTCATTAAAGGAACGATGTCGAATCTCTTCCTATCGTTTGAACAATAATTAGTTAAGATTATATTAAAATTTAATCAATCATATTTGATTAATAATATATTTAAATATTTTTTAAAAATCAATCAGTACTTGGAAATGATGTGCTTTGATTCGATCTACAAAGATGACTTAAAAAGAGATGATTTATATGTAAAAGAGAGAATATATTCAAAGAAGCTACTTTGATGAGTCAAGCCAGTTATATGAATATGTGCAAAGCGAATTCATCGAAAATGGGGGCTTATTCTACCGCTAAATGAGTGGTTGCGGAATTCATTCATTTCACGGGACCCAACCTACTCCAACGCCCAATTGGGGGAGCCTCCGCCGAGCAATGGGAGGTCCGCACTTGCCTCTTCACACGCTAATACCTTCAACTGCAACCTTTCATTTCTCTCACTGTCGGCTCAATACATTTTTTTTTAACTCTATAAAGTAGTTACAAAATAGTATTTGATTAAAATTATTTTTAATCATCGATAAGAATATATATATTTTATAAATATAATTGTTTGATTTTTTGTTGTTATTGATACCGTTTGATAGGTTCGAGCCAATAAAAACTCATTAATTTATATTAGGAATAATAATGACGTTATGTTTTGCTTTAAAACCCACAGGCTGTTGGATCCAACAGGTAAAGCCGGACACTTTTCCCTCCATAAATTGGGTCTGGTAGGTTTAAATTGAGCGAAACTGGGCTTTTAGTATTTGAAACTGGGCTTTTAGTTGTTTAATTGTTGTTTTCATTTTTTTTAGGTTTGGATTTGATATCATCAAAACTGATCAAGATGACGTTTATCTATTATCATACTGATCATTCCTGTTTTGAATCCTCGAATTGGATTTGAATACGCGGTTTGCGTTCGTGGATGGTTTTTATTGCATCGCTCGGCTCTAATTTACGATTTTTCATTGTCCTTTCTGGAGGTTGATATTCTTTTGTGATTTGCTTGCCAATGCAGTTAGATATGTTTATATCTATTTTTCGTTTGAGTTTTTCGGTTATGTTTTAACCTTTTTCTTGTATGGTACTTAAATGACTTATTTTTGTGTCTATAATTATAGAAAAAATATCTTAATTAAATATTTAGTTTAATATTATGGTTGTAATCTTTTATCATAATTTTAAATATTTTTCAATAAAATTAACCACTTATATATATAAAAGCATTGCTTTCTGTTTCGTGGGCTGGATTCAGATAAAAGACCAAACTTAAGGGACCCACAGCATCAAAAGTCGCCGAACCCATCATTCGTAAACACTACTGAAACCGAAACCCATGGGCCATGGCCGAATGAATGGCTAAATGCCATGATTGGTTCAAGGTTGGCTGTGGGACCTCAACCCGAGCCCCAGGCGCGTGGATTTATCCTCTTTTTCCCGCGAGTAGAGACAGAACAAACAGTTGAAGTGGACCCCACTGTAGCGCGCACACACTGCTGTCCGAAATCGGTGCCTCCTACTCATATCCATACACTCGCCATCCGAGTAAAAAATATCTCAGACACGTGTCCGAAAACTAGAGAGCCAAAGAAAATCCAACGACATAGATTTCCTCTAAGAAACAACTCCTCTCTGTAACTAAATAATAAAAAAAAATCTAAAAGCCTTTGCCATTGTATAAAGCGGTGGAACTCCATACATTTGCTCGTTTGCATCATTACTAGTATTTTACACAGCTAAAAACCCCTTTAATTTTCGAAAGGATATTCTGGTTGGAGCTCCTTTATCTTTGTATCTACTCTACTGTTTTCACTGTTCCTCCTTCGTTTCATTATCATAGCTGAGAAGGAGGAGGAGAAAGGTCCATTTAAGTGAGAGAAAACAGAAAAATGGGTGTTCTGGATCATGTTTCTGATCTGTTTGACTGTTCTCATGGCAGTCCCAAGAAGAAACGTAAGCAGATGCAGGTATTTCTCTTCCTATATAAGCTGTAGATACATTAAAAAAATTGTTTTTTATTAGTAGATCGAGAAATTTACTGTTTTTGTTGTTCTTTCTCTTTCTTTATTACTTTGTTTCTTATGTGATCGGATCTGCCCCATCAGTATGCCTAGATTTTATGTTTGGCGGTCTTTCTCTGTTTGATCTAAGTTATTAGGTTGAATCTGAGAAATCTGAGTTTTTAGCTTGATTGTTGTAAAAATGATCGAAATAGGCTAAACTCCATTGAATTAGCAAGCCAAATCTTTTAGATTTTAAGAGGGTGTAGATGAAAAAGGTTGAAACTTTTGGCAATCAAATGGTTAATTTACGAAGGATGTTAAATTGAATATTGAATTAAAGATTCTTGGTTTATTTTAATGGCGATTGGCTCTACCTATAGTAATAATTATTATTTATTGCTACATTATTGCTTCTGTCTCACACTAGTTAGTCAATTTTTCGTTATTATTTTAATCAGGAAACTTCAAAACTGACGTAAATTATTCAAACTAGGTGCGATTATAAATTTATAATAAAGGGTCTAAAATTACAATTTAGCCAAAGTCTCTGTAGAGTAAAACTGTCGGAAAGGTTAATCTGGTGTATTTAGTTAAAATATCACGCGTCAAACGGCAAAACACCGTTACGGGTGATCGTTTTTGTCGTGTTCCGACAAGTGGTACTTTGCTGTCGGTGTCAGTAGATAAATGATCAACTAACTGTAAAAAAAATTACGATATTCAGACGGTGGAGATCAAGGTGAAAATGGACTGCGAAGGATGCGAGCGCAAAGTGAAGAAATCAGTGGAAGGGATGAAAGGGGTGACGCAGGTGGACGTGGATCGCAAGGCAAGCAAGCTGACGGTGGCCGGATACGTGGACCCGGCGAAGGTCGTCGCTCGAGTGGCGCACCGGACGGGGAAGAAGGTGGAGATCTGGCCGTACGTGCCGTACGACGTGGTGGCTCACCCTTACGCCCAAGGGGTTTACGATAAGAAGGCGCCGGCGGGGTACGTGCGCAACGCCCAGGACTCGCAGGGGACGTATCTCGCACGAGCTACCTCCACCGAAGTTAGATACACCACAGCTTTTAGCGACGAAAACACTAATGCTTGTACTGTTATGTGATTGATTCGATTGTGTGGCAGTAGGGAATTTATTTGTGTGTTGAAAATTTGTGTTAGTTTGAGGATTTTGTTGTACATTTGTTATGTTGGATCTGACCTATGTTTTTATTGCTGTATTTGGGATTGTGTACCATAATGCTTTTTTAATGGATAAAGTTTTGAGTTCGAAAAATATAAATGTTAAATAAATATTATTTTATTTTAGTAAAATGAGGAATATTGATTCTCATCCTTTTAAGATATGAAAAATGACATCTTATATCTCTTTTTATGAATTTAATGTACAACGGTTTGTATGATTAATATGCATTACAATTTAGTTGTTTTATATCTCTATACTTTTAGAATGAATTTGTATTAAGGTAAAGATTGTGATTCTAATTTCATTTGATTTAGCCAAAAACATATATGATTCAACTCGCTTATATATGTGTTAATTGATTGATCACTTATATTTGTATTTTATCTATTTTTCTCACTGATTTCAAAAAACATAATATATTGTCACTTTCATTTTTATTTGATTAAGATGTGATCATCATTCATCACGAGTTATCTGTCGTTAAATATTTTGGTGTAGTCATACATTTGGTCTTTGTTATTTACATATTCTCTCAACTTAGTCATACTTTTAATAAATTAAAATAAATTTAATCATCCGATTAAATGATGTCACGTGTTACCATTCGGGTGGAGAACTAATTTTATTTTAATTTAAGATATTTAATCCAATATATTTTATGTTGAAATAAACATATTAAATTAAAATAAACTTAAACCCTCCAACCGAATGGTGACACGTGGTATCATTTGATTGGATGATTAAATTTATTTTAATTTATTAAAAGAATGACTAAAATGAGAGAACCTGTAAAACAATGATCGAATGTGTGATTATACCAAAATATCACGTCACCTATATTTTATGTTTACTTGTTGTGATCATGTTTTAGTTAAATAGAAACGAAAGTGTTCGTATCTTAATTAAATAAAAATGAAAGTGGTCATATATTATGTTTTTTAAAATAAGCAAGGAAAAACGAATAAAACATAAACATAAGTTACCAATCATGTAGTTAACCCTAATAAATATCTTCTACTATATTCATAATTTTTCTGGTAAAAAATCTTCTATATAGATATGTTTTTTTTTATGATCGATTACTTATAATTATCTTTGAAGAAAATTGGTGGTAAAGAAAAGGGTGAGGTTTACATAAACGGCCATGCAAACCAAATCATTCATCACTTTCAACTTCTAATTCTAAAACGATCCTTTGGTGCTAGAAGAATTGCTATTCGAGTATTCGACCCTGCAATTCTAAGCCCACCTGTAGAATGCTCCTTCACTCCATAGTTCCGATTCGCCAAACACTGAATATTACCGAACTCGCAATCATTCAATCCTTGCACATTCAGCACGGCAGCTTCTCCTGATTTGTCTTCGACTCCAAGACGAAGGCTGCATTGCAATTTGCACATTGCAGGGATTCATCACATAAGCACCACCAGTCACATTCACCGTGTTAACATCAGTTGCTGGTTTCTGATGAGGAAACGATCCCATCTCCCCTTTGATTCTTCCTCTAATGTCTACAAGCAAAAACTTTAGCATCCAATGCAGCCTGACCGTGTAATCTCTTCAGCAGCTGCTGGTTCTCTGCCCTCAACTCACAACCTCATCTTCGAAAGAGGCATCTCGTGCCTTTCTCCCTAGACTCGGCAGTATCATCAACAGAAGCCTTATCTTCAATCAAGGCCGTCACGGTTTTGGTATGAAAATGAAAACAGGTGTGTGCATGAGAGTTATCTGGGCCGGGTGGATTGCAAGTGCATGGAATCATTGAGTAATTCATAAAGAAAACTGTCCATTGAACAACGGCTCGGAATATCACCCACTTATATGTTGTTGCTGTTTATGAACTTGGAAGTTTCTTTATTTCTTACTTTTTGTATTCTCGGGTATATTTGTTCCACTATAATTGGTTTTTCGGAAATCGTTGCGTACACCCTTTGACAATCATATTATTATTTTCACAAAAATCAACATTCTGCAGAGTACACCTCAACAAGGGGTGCTGCTTTTCTCTCTTTTCTTTCTTTCTTGACTGCACATTACAAACAAATCCCAAAACTGGGATTGAGGCAAACATCGTGTTTAAAAAACTTCAAGATGCCAACCAAAAGAAGAAGGAAAAACAAAAAAGAATCTAATTGAAGCTTGATGATCGGCTCCATCTTTCTTTTAAATATTCTTCGGTCGAGAAACTACTGCTTTGCTCCATGCTACTAAATGATGTAGAATCATCATCAACATCAAGCATTGCAACACTTAAATGCAACTCTGGCCTTGAGTTCGGATAAACTTCATCGTCATTATGATGTTCTTGGCTTTCTGTGTTCTCTTTGTCCGTCTCTCCCCATTTTTCAACTGCCTTTTCCCCTTTTAAGAGCTCAAGTATCTGCACAAGTTGAAGGATCAATGCAAAATGTGATTGTAATTTAACCGGACTGTTACTTAATCGAAAGATTACCTGTCTCATCTTAGGACGAAGTCGAGCCGAACGTGTGATGCAAAGTGTTGCAGCTTGAACCATCCGATGCACTTGAGTCTCGTCGATATTTCCATTCAAATTTGGATCCAATATGCCTTTCACATCTCCACTCTCAATTATTGGCTTTGCCTGCAATTTTTCAAGTACTTGATAAATTATGTTTGATCATCATTGCAGATGTGAAAGGATACTTCATTTTAGAGAAGACTCTTACCCACATGACCAAGCTTTGCTGGCCTTTCAGATTCTCAAAGCTTATCGGTCTTTTTCCTGATAGCAATTCGAGTAGAACAATGCCGAAAGCATAGACGTCGATCTTGTCACTAAGTTTACCGTACATAAAATATTCAGGAGCTAAATACCCGAATGTTCCAACAACATCAGCTTGAATTAGGAATGATGAATCAGTTGGTCCCCATATTGCTAACCCGAAGTCGGATAACTGTCGCATCGGGAAAAAATAAACAATGACCATGTGATCGGTTTGTGACGTATTTCATTTTCGAGTAACTATCATTTAAATTACCTTTGGTTCAAACCCATCTGAAAGAAGAATATTTGAAGACTTTACATCCCTATGAATAACAGGTCGAGAAAGCTCATTATGTATGTAGTTTAGGCCTTCGGCAATCCCAACAGCAACGTTATATCTGAGTTCCCATGACAATGCATGTTTTCCATTATTGTTCCCTGCAATATATGTTAGATTGGATCAGTGGTTACAACAACATTATCAAGCAAAGGGGAAAAAAACACAGATCTAGTTGAAGCCGTAGTGTTGTACCGTGCAGAATTTCTTCTAAGCTCCCCTTAGACGAGAAATCGTAGACAGATATTAGATCATGGTCTTTAATGCTGACACCGATTAGAGGCATGATGTGTTTATGCTTAAGTGAGGAGATTATGTCGATTTCGTTTGCAAAATCCTTGCATGCCTCTTTCGATGACTTCAGAATCTTGACAGCCACTGCTTTGCCATCAGGAAGGATCCCTTTAAAAACACGGTTGCTCCCTCCTTTTCCGATTAAGTTCTCTGCAATGAAACAGAATTTTAGAAAACTAAGATAAAAAACACATAAAAAGTAATGAACACATCATTGGTTGCAAAGCTGGGGATAAAAACCTGTGGAGAATTGATCAGTTGCATCTTTTAGAATTCCATAAGTATACCATCGGCAATCTGATGAATTTGTTTTCAGGAGTTTATCCAAGCATTTTTGCAACTCATATTGCATAGATGAATTGGTCCCAGTCCCCATCATTGTCATCTTCAATTTCACTCTGCTCTATTTCCTTGATCGTTGAACATCGAGGAGTATGGTCATGCGGGGAACGAGTTGGTAAGTTCATCACCCATTTGACAACCGACAAACTCCTGGCGTGCTTTGCTTGCGGTGTTGCTGAACTAGCCCTCAGGAGAAGGGGCCAACCAGGCTTATAGTCTAAATTATCTACCGCAGAAAGAGGAATCGAGCGTGAAGTGATTCTCTCGCCTTCATGAATAACATTCAATGTTTCAATCTTTGAATCTTCACTACTGGCTCTTGATTCATCTTTGGAGCTTTGAATCCGTTTCGGAACTGGACATCTCAGACCCTACTTCAGAGTCACCGTATTCTGATTGACATTCTCTAACACCAAGGTTTTCAGACAAACAAAGACTTGGTCTTGGATCACCTTTAAGACCTGACATAATTGAAAGTACATCATCTAATTACTTCTGAAGACCTCAGTAGAAACAAGTTCCTTCTTATTTCTAGGACAGGTTAAAAACCAGACCTGGAAACTCACTAGTGTTGGATCTTTCGAAAACAAGTTTTCCATTGTTGATGGCCAGAACATTGGTTGTCGTCGGCAACCGCTTCGCGCAATATCTAGCCGTGGAAGTCCAACCCCTGAAGACAATATCTGTTCTTTTGAGTAATGAGACTAAGAATGGCACCAATTTAAACAACCGAAAAGGTTGACTTTTAAACAGCTAACTTACCCAAGAGCACCAAGCTTGTCTATACCCACAACTAAAGCAACAGCAGCATAGTTCACCGCTTCTCGAATCAAAACTTTCCGTATCGAATTTCCTTTACAAATCTCACCTTTAAGATCGACCTGAAAGCCAAGTATGAAAATTCTGGTAAAGATCATTTTAAAGCGAAATTCATTGAAATCCCCGGTTATCGGTAATGAAAGCAACCTTCTTTATAGAACACAGGCCTTCATATACTTCTAGATAACGCTCCAACAACAACTTCTGCCCCAAAGCATGATCTACATTGAAACTTCAAATTGGAACGCAAATTGTGCAAAATTAACTGGAAAAACAATGAAAAATGGCTTACCGGAAACATGAACTGCAACAACACAATCACCAGGCTCAGCAACTTTTACAATAGCCCAATTAAGCAAATCCCTGCCTTGATTATCAAATCGAATCCCAACCACCACATATTTCTTTTGATCGCAAGGCATATTTTCTTCTCTTATTTGCTTAGTTACTACCACAAATTCCTCGAAATATTCAAACCAATCTGTCCATACAACAAATCACCATCAACATGTTCATTCAAGCTTAAAAAAAAATCTAAAAATACCCCAACAACACCGGACACTTGACAAGTTAACCCTTTGAGATTATAAATGATACTCCATTATCATATTCGCATTTGAAAACCCAGACTCACAAAAGAAAAAGGAAACCCAGATCGAAGTGAATGGGGGAAAGCCATAAGCTAAAAGATTGTTTAATAGACTAAACAATCTACCGAAATCTTTGAAATAAAGAATACAGATAAGCAGAACAGGACAACTGAATTCAGAGCCTATACGTATTTTTTTTTATAAATTATATTGCCGCCAAAGAACATCATCCCTTCTACCTGCTGCAACCAATTTGAATACTCCTTCGTATATAAAATGTAAATCAATTATAGAACAATCAAACCAAGCTATTTCCTTTTTTTTAAAAAGGGAAAAGTTGGGGTGATGATAAAGATATTCAATCTACTTTAGCTTTTAAAAATGAAAATTTTAATTTTTAATTCTTTTCAGAGAATGGGTTCTTTAGATAAAAGTGTCGGCCAAGTACCAAAAAATATAAAACAACACAAGGAATTCCCGCTAAGAGTGGGCAACGAATTTCATATATGAATAAGGGAAAATATTACAAGAATAATAAATATTTTTAAGTTTGTTATAGTAACCGGCAAATTTCGCGTGAAACCCATGGTCGCAGGTCGTTTTGAGGGAGAAATGAAGTCACGGAAACCGGCTATTGCGGGTTGACGAGCACTACCCTTTGGGATCTTTGCGTTTTAAGGATAAATTTATCTTTTATGCATGGTTTTCAGAACCGGATCGGTTAGCGAATCGGTCATGTTATCGGTTTATTGGTTCAACTGAACGACGTCATAATTATTTAAAAAATTAAATAAAAATATCAAAAATATTTAATAAAAAATAATTTTTTATATCACAAATCATATTCAAAGCAAGTCATAACATATATAAGTTAAAAATCATAAAATCAAGTGAAACAAAATGATTCGAATTAACTACAACATAATATTTAAGGTAAAACATATTAAATAATAAATATAATTATATAAATATAATTAAAAAATAAATTTTGGGTTAAAAAAATCATAACAAAATGATATTGTTTGGTTTAATTTTTTTTTAAAAACAATCCCACATATCTAAGAAACATAGAAGAGCATCCCAAAAGTCTAAAGAGTAAAAATATGTGAACAAAACAATCTCACATTGCTAAGAAACATAGAAGCGCATCACACCTAACTTCTATAAATAATAGAGGTAATTTGGTATTCAAAATCATAGAGCCTTTTGGTGAGCATTGAGTGAATTATTCTTTCACTTCAATCAAGCTCGAATTTTAGGCTTTAATCGAGCTTCTAATTTTTTTTTGATTTCAAGCCTTTTTGAGTTCAAGTTTCAATATTATATTTCGAGTTTGAGTTAAACTTGATAATTTTTAGCTTGTGAGTTTGAGTTGAGTTGAACTTACTTTTAAAGTTTTCAAGTTCGAGTCGAGCTCAGCAATACTCGAGTTCGACTTGGCTCGTTTAACAAACGACGTTGTTTGGTTTAATTTTTTTAAAAAAAAAACAAAAATCCCAGTTTTTCCTAATTTTTTCCGGTTTTCAGCCGGTCCGGTTTGAACGGTTCAGCGATTCTGGCCGGTTCACTAATAGCGGTTCAACCGGTTTATATTGAACCGGACTAAGTAACGGTTCCCGATTGAACCGGCCGGTCCGGTCCGATTTTCAAAACAAAGGTTTTATGTGTGAACAAAAATAAAAAAAATAAAAAATACATAAATTGTTACTTTTAAAATTATTTCTTCAATTAATTGTTTTTTCCCTTCTAATTGAAATATGGTTGTACTTGTGTTCTTAAATTAATGTATACACGAGATTTGGTAGCAACAAATGATTCATTTCAATTATTTATAAAAAATATAAACAATTTAAAACTTGTATTTATTATCATTATTAAGATTTTGGCAAATCTCAAAGATCATTCATCAATTTATTTATTGAAGACTTTTTTTTTAAAAAAAAAATTATAGGTAATTTGATTTGGATTGGACAAATTTTACCTTATCCCAGATTATAAATAATATAGGAGAAGGACCATTTACACTAGAGTTTGGTAACTTCTTTACCATTAATATTTTAACAATTCCATCATCTTATTTTATACCATTCAAAATAGTATTGTCAATTTAATTCTTCGTACATTCTAATTTAAAATTTGATTAGTAGAGTAGCATTGGTTGGGTAAATTTTGATATTCTGGCGTTTCTCCACCTAATTATGCCGTCTTTTTAATCACACGTGTAATTTAGCATCAGCGGATCCGCCGACTATTACCCTGAAATATGCCACGTGTACATTCTTGTCAGTCAATCGTTCAAAACTCTGCTTTGTGTAAACAAAAAAAAAAAAGTGTCGGTCCAATCGATTTTGAAAGCATGGACCATATAATTTACATGCTCAGAGGCAAAATTGGGAAGAATATATTATTTTTTTCAAGGAAAATGTGTACCCCATAAAATTATTTAAATGTTTGAATTGTCTGTCCAACTCAATTGATAGAACGTAAGACTTTTAATATTGTGGTCGTGGGATCGAGTCTTATGGTGGGTAATTCATAATTCGGAGATCTCCCACGGAAGCTGCTCTCAACCTGGTGTTGGGGACAGTTTACTATCTTACCTCCCCTTATCTTATTACATATGAGAATAAGGATCAACTAATTTTTTATTCAAGTTAGCAGTAGTTATCGATTGTATAAGGTTAATAATATAAGAAAAATAAAATTGTGGGAATCAAAATGAAAGTTTAATCGATACGGTGCTTGTGGCATGAAATTAAAGCCCATTTTTTATTATTAATGTGCACAAGGCCAATTGTGCGAGGACAAAATTAGATAAAAGTGAAATTTAATTCATGTGATTTTTTTAGATTTATACGCTAGTAAGACGTTTTATTATTATTTTTAGTTTATAAAATTGAATTAAATTTTGACTCATATGAACACTCACGCTATGACTCTTCTATGTGACTAAATGATGGGACAAGGTAAAACCATATTGTAATGATTTTATGACTTTAGTAATGATATTACATTGAGTGCTCTGATATTATTTTACAAGGCTTTAGTGACATGAATTGTTTACGTACTACATATTATATTATGCAAAATAAAAATTCGACATTTTGTATATATAAACAAATAACAATTTGACTTTTGATGAGAGAAAGAATAATGATTATTTTTGGGTTTATTAATTAAATTACATTTTTTTTTTGCATAATGAAATTGAGGGAAAAGAATGATGGTGCCATGCTAGCGTCCTACCCTAATAATGATGGTATTATATTCCCGTTATGGTTTGATTTGATGTGAGTTTTAGTGCATTTGAGAGAAAGAGACTTTACGACCATAGCTATTAACAAAGGTGGCTAAAAGAACAGGGCCGAAAGCGAAGACCATGCTCAACAAGGAATCTTTATGGTTTCGTATTTATAATGATCACATGAACGAAACACACATAAAAGTCGTGCCCGACAACCAAAAGGAATGGTCTAGAAAGTTAACCTACCTCTCATGGATAAAAGTCTGAGGTGCGGCAGTCTTAATATACGGTTAAGAAAATACGTTCTCAAAAATTTTTTTTTTATTTTTTCAATAAAAAAATTACCTAAAATATTATTATTTCTACCGGAAATATTATTATTAGACGTTTTATCGGAAAGTTTAACATATCCGATAAAGTGTTATCTAAAACATTATTTTTTCTAACGAAAATTTAATATTGGACACTTTACCCGAAATGTTAAAAAAACATTAATATTTTAGGTGAAAAAAAAATTTAGGTAGTTTTTTACCCAAAATATTAAAAAATATTAATATTTTCAATAACATATTTTTTTAACCGTATATTAAAAATGTCATACGGTAGAATTTCTAACCTAACATGCTTATTTTGAAACAAGGACATGGTTCACTCATCTAATTATAAAGCAATTTCACTTTAGCCATCAAAAAGTATTCTTTTTGCAAATACGTTATGAAATTTAGGTTTTGTTTTTGTTTTAGTCACCAAATATAAAATCTTTTATTTTAACTTCGATTTCTGTTAGTAACACATCCTTATATTATTGTGATACGCGTCAACACTTGAGGTGGTACCACGGATCTATGCCCAAGTTCTCGGAAAAATTATCTAAGCTATTTAATTGGCACAGTAAGATCCCATTTGGTAATATTATATGAAATGCATGGTTAGTTAAAAATCACGTTTTGACCATAAGACTAATGTCAAACGAGTAATAATTCGAAGGAAACATGATGAAAACAATAGTTTCAAACCAGTCGTAAAAGTCAGAATTTTTAGCCTTTTCATTTCAACTTTACATTTAAAAGTAAATTTATATTTTTACGCTTATTAATGCATGAGCTCCACTCAATTATGTATTTATATTTTATTTTAACAATTTAATATGAACACTCTTAAAAATAATTTATTCCTTTTAATAATTTATTTTAATTATTTAAAAATAAATAAAATTCATGATTTATATATTAAAATATTAATTTTAATATGTATTTTTATATTTTTATCATAGCTTAAACATATATAATAATATTTTTTTATTTATTATAATTTAAATTTATATAATTCATATATATATATATAAGTGTAAATATAATTTAAATGCTATATTTTTAATTTACAACATAATGTCTATAATGGACATTTTATATTTTCAAACTCACTTTTTAACAATATTCCAAAACACAAATTAATTTTTAAATTATATCTTTAAACACCACTTTTAAAAGTTCGTTTATACAACACTTTTAAAAGTTATGTTTGGTAAATTAGACGTAATATAATATTTTAACTAAAATCAGAATTGGAAAACTATAAAGTTAAAATTCAAATTAATTACATTAATAACAGAGTGCAATTTAATTACATTATTTTTATATAAAAAATTGAATTTTAAAAAATAAATAAAAACATAACAAAAGCAAAATAATTAAATGATCTTTCATATAAGTTAAAATGTCAAGAATTGTTTATTACAAATGAATTTGATGAAAATTAGATTTTTATAATTTTTTTAATAGTTGATAATGTGTCATTATCATTTGAAAGAAGTATTTATAAATCAAATATAAAAAATAATTTTTAATAAATAGTATTAGCCCAATAATAAAATATTACACGAACCAAACATACCTAAAAGAATTTCAAATTTGAATAATAACATATACCGAATCCAAGCATACGCAACTCAATACAAGTGTGCTACGAAGCCTCCCCTCAGTTGATCAATTAGTTTTTTATATTTTCTTTAAGCGTAGCTGGTTTCAGAAGTGGGTAAATACTCATATCATATCTTTTGAATTAATCATTAGTATCCATTTCATTCATCGACTAACCCAGATCAGATATTACAGAGATAAAGACAACCCGTATATGCAAGATTTAAACCCTTAATCTTACTTAAATAATCTAATACTTCATCCTACTAGATTAAATAATTATTGGTACCTGACATTTATCTTTAACTTCTTCAATATTGTATTGGGATTTGCATAATAAGACGTTAATTTTGGTGACAAATTAACCTACCTACATGGGTTTTTGCTACCAGGCATGTCCCTTTTTAGAGACCTCCAACCCTTTACAGTAGGCAATGTGCCAACCTTATTCCTTAGGTCTTTATTTTTTTTTTTGTAAATTAGTGTATAATTTTTATTTTTCTAAAATGATTCTTCGATATTAAAAGATCCCACCATTAATTTACACTTAGCGGACAAAGTGTTATAGAATAAGGCCAACTAACAGTCTATAATATATTTACTAATTTAAAAGCACACAAAATATCAATATAGGAAAAAAAAGCATTAAAATCTCTCAAGCAGTGCACCTAAACACAGAACATATGGCACCATGTAGTTAAATCAACGTATAGGTCAATCAGTTTCCCATCGCCTAGTCCAATTGAATTCCAAAGTCTGCTCCTGCTTTACTTTCCTTCTCTTTGAATCCACATGTTTTTTTTCTTTGTAGAGATGTGTCTTGTTTAACATTAGATTCTTTCCTGAGCAGTAATGGATAAATCTTTAAAGTAAAAGCAAAGAAATCACTGATAATGAGCAAAGGTTTATGGTTTACCTCTTCTCTGAGCCAACCATTTTAGATACTCCATTTGCTACTTTGGAACCAATTTCCCCTGCCGCATTTTACAACATAATTATCAAATATTGATAACGGGGTATAGCATAGATTAGCAATCAACATAAGCACAGATGGTTTATAATCGAACACCTGTAACTGTATTAAGAAATCTTATGCCCTGCGAGTGTCTATTTGTTGTCACCTTATCTCCATTGCTGCTCATTCAAGTACAGTTCAAACTAATCAGTCAATTCTCTACTTCCATTTCTGAACGGGCTTATAGTTGCAGAAGGGATATGATTGATGCTATTGGTGACATCTTAGTGCCCGTTTAAGTGCCTCCACAGACAGTAGTTTAACTGGCTTAGAGGATGTTTTCGAGTTTGTTTTATCAGATAGAGGATCAACCATGTATATTCCTTCTGATCTAGGAGGATTTCTAAATGGTGTTCTCAAGTTCCTGTAAAGATAAAGAGGGCAAAAAATGTCAACACTTGTAAAAATCAGATTGAACAATTTAATTTGACAATAGGACACCATAATGAAATGGATCATTGATCGCCTACCCTCCCATTAGTTCAGTTCTCTTTGTGGAATATTTTTCTGATGCTTTCTACAGAACATAACAGAAAAGAGTTATCTAGGGATGATTTAAAGTTACAACCTACTCCGGCGATGCTGGTAAAACAAGACAAATATAAAGGTAGTGCCGTGCCTACCGATTGGTGATATTGGCAGTAAGCACCTTGACGCCTGAAATAATAGAAGAATATATTAAAAGTGAAAATAGAATGAGATTAATTACGTAGACAAACATTCAAGGAAAATTGGATAACATGGAGCCTTGTATTCAATTGATTTAAAGCGTTCAACAAGCTGCATGATAAAACATAAGATACCAAATTGTATGAAAGAACATAAGAAAGTTATGAGATAGCTTAAAAGGACTAAACAAAGAATGAAGTCATGATTTCAAATCTAATTTTGCATCTAAGAGTTTCTCAAGAATCAGTCAAGTGCAAAATTCATCAATCCACATTTCAAACATTTAGCACAAACCAGACTCCTTTGACATGAACCTACCATTACTAGTGTTGAGCATTTTCTGTTCTTCTGACATGACAGATACCCTGCACTACAAGCAAACTGCATACAAGGGAATGACCAATATTGCAGGGAAGTTAAGAATCATGAATTGTTTGTGATGCAAGCATAAGTGGAGAGAGAGCAATCATTCATTCAGAAAGCCTACTAACGTCGTTGTAAATGATTTTTCCTTTAAAGTCTTTCTTGAGATGCTTTTTACTCTTACATCACTCAGACCAATCAATTACGCATGCCATTTTGTACAAGATAGATGTCTCTCTCGATCGCATTTCTAGATCAGGTCAAGTACACAAGGCCCATTGTGCAAAGACAGTCAATATATCAAAAGAACCCTAAGGAAGAAATGTAGCATACTTATTTACAACAAGCGTGCAAGCCATCCCATCTTTTCTTTTTCCCTTGCAGACTCCATAGTCAGCTGAGGTACCGATCTTTAGAATTTGGTTGGCAGCAGTAGCGCTCAAGGAAAATCCCAATCCCTACAAAACGACACAGAAGGTATTACTTTCTTCACGAAGGGTACCCAACATAAGCCAATTAAAACATGGCAAAGTTGATACCTTTGGGTCTTTGCGAACACTGCAACTGAACAATGCAAAAACTGTTCCAACCTGCTCCTTACAATTCTGCTCATAAGCATCACTAAACAAGAAAAGAGAAACAGTATTTTCATCTAAGCACCCAATTTTCCATATGGAATAGCTCTGCCCGATTAACTAGTCATTGGAGTACGCTTTTCAGTCAACACTCCTATGGTTGCCCAACAACCGTAAAGGGTGTCTCCCTTCAACAAATTCCCGCAAAGAGCCTAAAAATATATTGTTATCTACCTGATGAGGTGTATGTATAGCAATGCTTTATCAAGGCCCTAGCAAGTAATAAATATAGGTAAGCCAAACTTGAAAGGAACTTATTATTATTATTATTATTATATATATGTATGTATGTATATATTTCAATAAAATCATCATTTTCAAGCAAGAGTATAATTGCATACTTTATAGTTGATAGTCGAACAAAACGAATATCCGACAACCGCTCACTGAGTTCCACAGGACTGACCAATTGCTTCCTATCAAACAGAAGAAAATGTAACAATCAGGGCTTTTCCATTTGCCACTTAAGAGTTAGTGGAATGTAAGTTGAAGTGTTTGAACTTGGGCTTACCTTATACGCAAACCTGAAAACTTATCAACTTGAATATCATTTGAACTCGGTGGCTTCGACTTCGCATGTCTCTCAACTGGTTTGGGTTCATAATCAAGACAATCTTCGACAAAATTCTTAAAAACAGACAAGTCTGATTTCCCTCTTTGCCTTGGCGATCCATCATCTGATAGGTACCCTAAAAATTTATCCCAAACAAACTTATAAGAATAAACCCAGAGATGCCCATTATCAGACTCGAAAGCAAGAATAAAAATAACCAAAACCCATACATAAAGAAAGTACAAACAAAAGAAAATAGGAAAAATGCAGAACCAGATGGTCCAGAAACCCAAATTCCAATTATAGAGAAATAATAGATACACAGAACGGGTTTTTAATGAGAGAATCCAAAATAAAGCCAAAGCAGCTATGAGATTTTACCCGGAGAATGAGAATGGGGATTTGAAGGGGAAGGAGGAGGCGTTTCCAGAACCCGCTCTTGAAGAGAAAGAAGGAGATCAAGATCATCTTCGCGGCTTGTCATTGGTAGTATCGTTTAAGTAAAACGGAATTGGACTACAGGGAGATGAATTTAGAGCTCTCTTTTAACAAACGAAATGAAATTGATTAAAGAGAGGAAGAAGAAGAAAACTGACAACTTATATCATTCAAGGGGTTTTCTCATAGGTCTTTCTGGAGGGAAACCTAAAATATGTTTTGGAGGGAATAAAAGAGCTTCGTGGATTGGCCGAAACTTCAAGCTTTCTTAACAAAATAGTATCATAGAACTATGGGTAAACTATACATTGAATCACTCCACTATTATTTTTTTCTATTTTAATAACGTAATTGTTTTGTTTTTTCTAAAATCATCACTATAATTGAGGTAGAAAACATACCGAATGATTTGTAGGACGATCAATGTGGTTGTATATCTAATTGTAATGGTTTTTTCTTTCTACTCCGTCAAAATTATCATAATTAATTCATCTAATCCCCTAAAATTTTATTAACCCATTAATTAGTGGAATTGTTAATAAATTATATCTGTACGAGTGAGTCGTGAGGTCTGTTAATAAATAAATTGATCTGATTGATATATGGTGACATGACAATGTTGAACCTCAATTAGTTATGCCTATATAACAATAATAGATACAATTTCGATATTTATTTATGTCCGAGGCTTAATTTCATAGATAATTTAAGATTAAAGCTTAACCAATTTTTTTACAAAAATAAAAAATAAATGATCGGTGACGGTTCTAATGTTTTTTATTCAAGTCGAAGTCCAATTCCGGGCCCAACCGAAAGACGGGTGCGACATATGTGTATTCAACTCAAAATTCAAACTTGTGCTAAAGATAGCAGATTTTCTGGAGAAACAATCGCAAAACCAGTAACGTTCAAAGGGTAAAAATAGTTGGCATAGCATAACGCCAACACTATAAATGGCTCTTCTTATGTCCGTTGTAAGATGAGCTTCTCCTTTTTTTCAAAGACAAAGAGGCTCCCAATAGAAAAAAAAATAGAGTTCGGCTCGTTCAGTTTCTACCATAATCCTCACCTCCCACCAAGCTGGCATAAAACCCAATGGTAAACCCCGGCCGTATCCCGTCGACATTCTTTCTGTTGACGCTGCTAATCGCTTATTTTGTCGCTTATGGTGGAAATGCTGCCGAGGAAGGGGACGAAGACGAAATCAAGGTTCAAGGCCAGGCAAGCGTGACGTATGACGCAAGGTCCCTGATCATCAATGGCAAAAGGGAGCTTCTGTTCTCGGGAGCTATCCATTATCCTCGTAGCACACCGGATATGTGGCCGGACTTGATTCAAAAGGCCAAGCAGGGAGGTATCAACACGATTGAGACGTACGTGTTTTGGAACGGACATGAACCGGTTCAGGGTCAGTTAAATTTCGAGGGACAATATGACTTGGTGAAGTTCCTCAAGTTGATTCATCAGAATAATTTGTATGCAGTCGTTAGACTTGGACCCTTTATCCAGGCCGAATGGAACAATGGGTAACGATGATTCGAACTTCCCAACCTTTTCTAGAATCTATTTCAATATTCTTATTGAAATGACACTTCTTTTATAAAAAAAAAAACCCCAGAGGATTACCATATTGGCTTAGAGAGGTCCCCAACATTATATTCCGATCTGATAATGAACCTTTCAAGGTAATGGGCCTTTTCCAAATACATATATATTCATGATAATAGTACAAGATTTCATAATTGATGAAAATTTTAACTTGTGCAGGAACACATGCAAAGGTACGTCACTATGATTATACAGAAACTGAAGGAGAAGAAGTTGTTTGCTCCACAAGGAGGGCCAATCATTTTAGCACAGATCGAGAACGAGTACAACACGATTCAGCTCGCATACAGAGAAAAAGGTTTGAGCTACATTCAGTGGGCTGCAAAAATGGCGCTTGGCCAGGATGTTCAAGTCCCATGGGTCATGTGCAAGCAAAGGGAAGCCCCAGGTCCCATTGTAAGTTTATGTATATACACAGATAAAATAAGACGGAAAAACAAAGTAGTAATATATACACATGGTGCTTCAGATCAATACTTGCAATGGAAGGCACTGTGGAGATACTTTTTATGGTCCAAATAAGCCTAACAAGCCCTCATTGTGGACTGAGAACTGGACTACACAGTAAGTAGTGGGATTTATATTAAGTGGTTTAAACTAAATCCGAGTATGTTGGTGTGTATTGACTAATCCGGTGGTTGTCTTGATTCAGGTTTAGAGTATTCGGGGATCCACCGTCCCAGAGATCAGCTGAAGATTTGTCATACTCGGTTGCTCGTTTCTTCTCTAAAAATGGAAGCATGGTTAACTACTATATGTACTATGGTGGCACAAACTTTGGCAGAACGAGCTCTTCGTTCACAACGACTCGCTACTATGATGAAGCCCCTCTTGATGAATATGGTAGGGTTCAGAACAAATTTTTTGGATGGTTCTATGCAGCTAATTCCCGCATGTTGCTGTAGGTCTTATAAGGGAACCAAAATGGGGTCATCTCAAGGATGTTCACAAGGCCTTGAATTTGTGCAAGAGAGCTCTATTATGGGGGACTTCAACTGTTGAAAAGTTTGGTCCAGAACTAGAGGTAAGCATGCATTTATATAGACTAATCGAGTGGATTTTTGGTTGGGGGTTTGATATCGGTATAATGTGCAATGCAGACTATAGTGTGGCAGCAACCTGGAACTCAAGTATGTGCAGCTTTCTTGGCCAACAATAACACTCATCAGCCACTAACAATCAATTTCAAGGGCCAGCAATATCTCCTGCCACCTCGTTCCATCAGTCTCCTCCCGGACTGCAAGACCGTGGTTTTCAACACTAACCAGGTAAACTTAATTCTTGACCCCTCATTATATGTCTAATGTCCCTATGTCTACAATCTCCAAACCTTTGTACTTTACTTGCACAGTAAGTAACCAATCTTGCTTGCCCGAAACAGATCACAGCGCAACATAACGCGAGAAACTTTGCAAGATCAGAAGTTGCAAACAAGGACTTTAACTGGGAGATGTACAGGGAAGTCCCTCCTACTGAAGGTCAACAGAAGTACCCGGGGTTTTTGGAGCATTGGATAACTACGAAAGATACAACCGACTACCTATGGTACATAACTAAACTTGATTTGGGTGAACGTGACTTGCCGATGAAGAAAGATATTCTCCCAGTTTTACGAGTTGCAAGTCAGGGCCATGGACTCCATGCCTTTGTCAATGGTGAATACATCGGCAGTGAACACGGAAGAAAAGTCGAGAAGAACTTTGTTTATCAGAAACCTGCAGCTTTCAAGGAAGGGACTAATCACATTGCTCTCTTGAGTTTTGTGGTGGGACTTCCCGATAGTGGAGCCTACATGGAACACAGATATGCAGGGCCTCGTTCTGTCACCATCCTAGGTATGAACACGGGTACAGTTGACATATCCGAAATGGGTTGGAGCCATCAGGTTGGAATTGAAGGAGAAGCGAAGAAAATATTTACCGAAGAAGGCTCCAAGTCTGTTAAGTGGACCAAGCCTGGCCAAGGAGGACCCATCACATGGTACAAGGGGCATTTTGATGCACCAGAAGGAAACGATCCGGTTCTCATTACAATGATTGGTATGAGTAAAGGTTTGGTGTGGATCAATGGCAACAACATTGGAAGATATTGGATGTCTTACCTCTCTCCTCTTAAACAGACTACTCAATCCGAGTACGTAAACTCTAAACCCGAAACCGTTTACGAAACAATCTTGACTACATGAACTAGAAATAAACTAATGATTGTAATTGAATTTCAGGTACCATATCCCACGGTCATTCCTGAAGCCAAAAGACAACCTGATTGTTATCTTCGAGGAAGAGCAGGGTACCCCTAAAGATGTCTACATATCCACGGCTAACAGGGACACAATCTGTAGTGTTGTGAGCGAATTCCACCCGCCGTCTCCTCGGTTGTTCAAGAACAAAGCTGGCATCGTCCGACCCCTGGTGGATGACTTGAAACCAAAGGCTGAACTGACATGTCCTGACCAGAAGAAGATCGCGGCAGTCGAGTTTGCGAGCTTTGGAGATCCTTTCGGAAGCTGCGGAGCCTTGGTTCAAGGAAATTGCACCGCTCCGGCATCGAAGCAAGTGGTTGAGAAGCACTGCTTGGGGCAATCAACCTGCAAAATCCCAGTGGAGCCAGCAGAATTTGGTAACGTAAATGGTGCATGTCCTCCTAATGCACCCAAGACTTTGGCTGTCCAAGTGCTTTGTTCTAAATAATTGGGATTTTATTCTTCTACAAGTCGATGTTAGTGCTCTCAATTTGCTATTCAGCCGTGCAGTTTCCAACAATACAAGAATATTTACTCTTCTCTATTTCCCCCTACCACTTCTATTAATTATTATTTGCATCCGTTACTTTAAATATCAATTAATATGGCATTATTTTACCAAAGGATTAATTAAAAGATTCTATTAAAAATATGATAAAATTTAAGCAAAAATGATTATGTGATTGGCAATTAATTCTAACTCTGTAGCAATGTCAATTATAATAGTTTAGGTTTAAGTAGGGGTGTTGAAATGATCGATTCGATCATTTTTTTAATCATTTAAGGATTTATAAATTTATGTTTGCTTAGATATAAATATATTATTTATGAATTTATATTCAATTAAAATCTTTTTAATCGTTAACTCCATCATTTTTTTAAATCATTTAAGGATTTATAAATTTATGTTTGCTTAGATATAAATATATTATTTATGAATTTATATTCAATTAAAATATGAATATACTATTACGAATTTATATTCTGTTGGAATACAATATTCTTGCTTCGGAAAAATTGTTTTTCATTTAAAATTTTCCTATAAATACTGAGTTAGCTAAACATAAGTTTTGAGATCTCGAAATTCTAGAAGTTCAAAAATCTTTGAAAAATATTTTTTCTCTTTTAATTTTTCGATGATAGGTAAAAGAAATAGTTTGTGATCTAGAAAGTTTGTGTTATTGTTCAATGATCACACAGACGACCAAAAGATCTCGAGCATCGCGGAGTGATCGGAAATCTGTCTCAAAAAAACTGTGTAGTGATATGCCTCAACTGTTTTCGAACAATAGATCAATCGAAAAAGAGTATTTTTCTTTCCATTTATTTTTTATTTATTTCTAAGAAGTTTAATTTATTTTTATTTTATTTTCTTAAGTTTAATTTCGTCTCGAATTATTATTTTTGTATAACAATTTATATGATTTATTGGCAATATGGAAGTTCAAAACGATTTGGGACATCTTAATTTTATATACATATATAAGAAATATAGAAGTTATCGAACCGAAATTATGAGAGAAGGTACATATATAAGAAAGTTATCAAATCGAAATTTTGAGAGAAGATACATATATATATTAATAACGTAAAATTTTTATGTGAATAAACATAAATAAAATTTTAGGATAAAACTATTAATAAATTAAATAATCAACATTCATTTCCAGCTAGTGATGAAGAGGGAGAACTTCCATTAATCTTTCCAATACAATTGGAAATGGAAAGATGCTTTAGTGCTCTTGGAAATTGTTCAAACCCATCTGGAAGACGGGAAAGGTCTGACATATTCCTAACTCTCAGTGTAGTTAAAGAGACAAGGTCAACCAGTTCCACTGGAATCATTTTATTGCAATCTTAAATAGGTCCAATGTTTTTCAGATAATTCGGGTAATCCAAAATCGATATTTTCCTGATTCGTATCCGATCTTAAATATTCAATTTTTTAATTGGATATCTGATCCGATTATTCGGGGGGCGGGGAATCAGATCGGATCATCAATGGATCGGCTTATTCAGATGGGATATTTTTGTACACCCCGGATCTAAATTACATGTTAATTTAAATATTATTTTTATAAAATTTAATATTTTATACATACAAATACAATTCAATAATTATAAATCCCGTGTTTGTAGCTATGCTCAATAATTAAATAAAGAAATAATTTTGAGACTCAGGGTTATGGTCGGACCGTGTGTTTGCTTTTGTCACGACAATACAACACTATATCAATAAGTTCATGGTCGTTCTCTTCAACACAACTCAACTCAACTCCTCCTTGCCGTGCTAAGAAAACTGCAACTCTTCCTTCAAGTCAAAAGCATGGAGCTCGCTCAAAAACCTGTTATCGTACGACAAGTCTTTGAAGATGAATTGGAATATGAACTTAGGTTAATTCAAAGTGTGGTTGAAGATTATCCTGTGGTTTCAATCGATACTGAATTTCCAAATACTGTTTTCAAACCAGACAAAGAAATCGTCGTATTGGGAAACCAACATATCACCTATCATTATATGAAATCCAATGTTGATATTCTGGACATGACTCAATTGGGTTTAACCTTCTCAGATTGTGAAGGTGATTTGCCGGATTTTGATACTCCGTTTTGCTACGTGTGGGAGTTCAATTTTAAGAGTTGTGGGAAGAACAGAAGGAAGGGTATTGATTCAAGAGATTTTGCTACCATGTTCTGGAATTTAGGGTTGTTCAAATATTTCAGAGGTTCAACGTGGATGGCCTTCCATGGTTCTTATGACTTCGGATTTTTGGTGAAGATTTTAACTCAACAGCCACTTCCGTATGACATAGAATCTTTTATGGGGCTATTGGTGTATCTTCTTGGCGACAAAATATTCGATGCCAAACATACCTTCAAGTGTTTTCGTTTATTGGGTAGTCTGGACAAAGCGGCGAAACAGTTGAACGTGGTTCGTCTTGCTGGGTCGAGTCATCAAGCAGGATCTGATAGTTTACTCACCCTTCAATGTTTCAATGAGTTGAGAAGATTGGATGCTTTTGGAGCGATTAAGATACCTACACTTGCATTGTATGGGCTTCAATTGTAGGTGGACAGTTCTTTAATATTATTTTTATAATGTTGTATAGTTTGTCGGATTGAATTGAAAATGTTTTTATTTGAAGATTATTTGCTATTGGCACGGATTTATTTTAATTTTCTTTGATTATACCATACTTATTAAAAATAATGAAAATCAACGCTCCCAATCTGCCAATGATAGTGGCTGATAAGAAATTCTATACCGTCATTGACGATCAATTTCTGCTCCTGGTAAGAGAAAATAAGAAGAGAAACATCAGAGCATCAAATGGGATAAAATTATGAACACTGATTTGTGTTTAGCCACCTGATTTATTTTCCCAACCGACATGAAATCTATTAATTTACTATGAAAAAAAAAAGTACATAAAAGTAATTGATTAGCAAATAAATGTGATCTGGATTTAGATTGTTTACTAACTGTTCATAGCTTTTCTTTCAAGTTTGTCTGTCTGGAGGGGGTATGGTGTATAAACTATCACCACATTCTCTTCCTATCTTGGAGTTAAACTTTGTAAATTCATTAGCGTTTTTAAGACCTACTTATATGAATATTCATTCAATTTGGTCCGTCGACAAATTCCAAAAGTTTCTATATTTCTTGCTCTTGGTAATGAGTTGAAAATCATGATAACCAATTCTTGCACTAAATTTCATCTTCTACATGTTATCAACTTACATCGAACGATTATTCTTTTTAATAATGATATTGCCCGAGTATTTAATATGGTTTTTTGTCCTGCTTTTTTTGGTAGACCTTGTTGTTGGTAGATCTGAATGTTGCTTTTACTGTTCTATTTGAGCTTTTGCACTGGTAAAAGTGTCAGAATCTTACCTAAAGCCTACCCTGCTGTGTACCTACTTGAAATAATTCGATTCAGGTTAAACTAATATATGAGCGGTAAGTAATTATATCATCTAACTGGATTCAACCTTCGCTTCTAGTGGGGGTTGTGCTGTAATAAAGACCCTCTGCTTTACCACTTACCAGGCCAGCATGATACTAGCCTGTGCCTTTTTTGAATTACCTGCGTCTCTCTACGATGTTTCAGAGTGCTCCTAGTCTAACGTTTAGCCAAATTGGGTCAAACACTGTCTAATGCCAACCGCTATGAACGGTGGACGGTGACATTTTGCAAAATGCCATTATCTTTTCTGCTACGATTCCCCTGGACTAGTTTGTACCCAACTCCCTAGCTTGGTATCTGCTTAAATTGATTAAAGTTGTTGGCATCATCTAATGTTATGATATTCTCTTTAATTAAACCATTAATACCGTTACATCTAGGCGAATGATCTCCCAAAAATATCAGTTTTCCGTGAGTCGAAAGCTTTAGACCGACTCTTCCTCCCAACAGAGAATCCAGCTCCTTCGGATAAAAACTTTTGAATCAATTACAGCATTTAGACAATATTCTTGATAAACCTATATGATCAGTTGGAGCGAAATCCAATGTCTGATCAGAAGATTTACCTACTCTATCGACCTATGACTAATATACGCACTAAAAGTCACTATAAATACCCTCAAATTCAATCAAGAAATGGCCTGACATCCTTAAGAACAATCCTTCCCTTTCTCCATCTTCCTTGTGAATGACCCTTTATAATACAAAAAATACTAGTCAACAATCGTACTTTCATCAACCGCAACTCTCCGTCTAAATCAAAAAAAGTAAACCGTTCACGGTAGACAAAACTCATTTATTCCATCAACAAATACCGTTTTATTTCATGTGATTTTTCTTAAAATCTATTCATATGGCAGAATCACATAAGAAACTTTCAGAACTTGGGGTCAATCCTAGCTCTTCTCGATCCAAGCTACTTGCAAAGAACAACATTATATTGGATAATTTTCGAACTCGAATTCTCTAAAAAGAACAACATTTATCTCCAAAGTTAAAATTGAAAACAATGATCCATAGTCCCAACCAGGTCAGCACTTCCTCCACGTTCCCATGGATAATGGCAACCAAACTACTTGAACGATGAAGAAAATTTAGGTAAGGTGTGAATTTAGATATCTGAAACAGAACTTCATGTAAGGTTAAAAGAGTCCCCACAAACTGATAGGAAAAAAAAAGCCTCACATGGCGGGGACAGCCAAAAGGTAGGTAGGTAGGTAACGTTAGGGTATCGAGCCACTTTTTGGACAGCTCTTCTTGTTCATCAAGTCTTTGTTCAAATTAAATACCTAAGCACATGATATCCACGTTCTGCTGTATGGTCATCACAACCTGATCATTGCAATCCTTAACCCAAGCCCTTACCCGCATTTTAAGGACCTTAACCAATCATGTAGTTATAAAACCCCATGATTTACTCTCTTTTGGTTGGATTATTAAGGTCAAATTATGGTTTTAATTCCTGTATTGTCTTTAAATTTGGGATTACTTTTATAATCATATTAGTTTGTCTAAAAATAACACCATTGCTAACTATTCTAATTTTTTTTCTAACTCGTCATAGTTATGTGTTTTTTTGCGTAGCCACTCATATTCAATTTATTAACCAATTAATTTGGATGCTACAAAAATAAGGACGACATTATCAACTCAATTTATTAACTAATCCCATCTATGCTTATCTCTATCCGTTTGGATTATCTGATTATAAAAGAATGTCTGAATTATACCAAAGTAAAACACAGGCACGAGATCTAGAATTTGAGTGCAATAGAAGAACTAAAACCATAATTCCAGCGGTTAATAATAAAAGAAAACTTAGTAAGTCTTATTTTGTATACTTTTAGAAGAGTCATGTGGTTGGGGAAAAAGACGTCTGGTTAAAAAGCCAACCTAACTGATTTCCATAATGATGATTTGCGCCGTCCGATTGAAACAGGTTAGGCACCATTCAATTAATGCGTGTAGGTATATATTCGATCCATCATTTCTTTTGGGGTAAATTACACGCTTACCTATTAAGCTTTATTCTCTCTCCTATTTTACTCATTTTACTTTTATTGTTTTCAATTTACTCACTAAACTTTATACATTGAATTTTTTAGGTCACTCGATAATAACTGAATGACATTGAATTATTTAATATTAAAAGGGCCACGTCATATTTTTAATAAATAATAAAATAATTTTGTTTTTAGTTAATATAAACATGTGGGGATTCAAATCTCTAACCCTAAAATTATACCCTGAAAAAGAGAGAGGATGAAGAAGGAGATGGAATTGACAGCTTCACCCTCTCACCAGCGTACTGTGACTCATCGATGACTCTACCTGTGGGATAGGTAATGATGGACGGTGACTCCCGCTCTTCCTATTTGTCTTCTTTCCTTTCTCCATCACTACATTGTTTATTAATTTGATGCTTTTAAATTCAACATGCATTCCTAATGCAAACAATGAATATCCTTCTAATATTTCAGTGGTGATTGCTGCACCTTTTCTAATGCATTTCTAATGGTATTGCTTTATTTGTGACTCGCGAGCACCATGTGGTCATTGGAGCTCGAGTTCCTCGCTACACATTTTTAGGTTAAATCCAACTATCGGCTCAAAATTCCATACCTCAAACTCACATTCAATAACCATCTATAGTTCGTTCTTCATCTACTAAATATGGGATTTTATATAACCGTGATGAGCCACCGGCCGCCGGAGGGAAGGTGGGGTAGGGGTTATAACTTGAGATTTAGGGTTTGAGTATAATTTTAGAATCTATGGTTTGAGTGTATAATTTGAGAATCCTATATAATATTAAAATATTAATAAAAACATGACATGTCATACGAAAAATAATAAAATAATCTATGAAATCATTTATTTATTTCATGTCATAACGATGTTACAAGTTTAACGGCAGAGTGATAAAAAAATTCAATGTATAAAGTTTAATGAGAAAATTGAAAAAAATAAAAGTTAAGTAAGAGAAATAGGAGAGAGAGTAAAGCTCAGTGAGTAACTGTGTAATTTACCCGTTCTTTTATAGCCTTCTCTAATTTCTTCCTCGTATTATCTTCATCATGTCTTTATTATTATTATTCCCCTTTTGTGAGCACTTCAGCAAATGTAAATTAATTAATTTGTTTATTCAAGCAAACACAAAATGGATAGGCAAAGGTGGGTTCTTGTTAAAAAGATGGAAGTAGAAAAATTTAGGGGAGAAGATTGAAAATTCTTAAAATGGTATGTTGAAAAAGTTAGGTAAAACCTCCGCCCCCCCCAAACCCAATGTTTCCTCCTTTACCCTAGAAACTTGTTCTCACCAACATGAACCGACGCCAAAATTCAATTTGGGATCAAAATAAAATATTATTTTAACGGTAAACCTTTAAAAATTTAAAGTAGAGATAAATTTGTAAAAGATAGAAGATCACAACAAGAAGAGTAAAATATAACATTGAAATTATATTTATACTTATATATGAATTATATCAATTTAAATTATAATAATTTTTAAAAATATATTATATATGAATTATATCAATTTAAACTATAATAAAATTATAAAAGATATATTTTATGTAAATCACTATGAATAATTTAATATATAAATTATGAATTTTATTTATTTTTAAATAATAAAATAATTATTAAAATAATAAATTATTTTTAAGGAGTTTTGTATTAAATTATTAAAGTAAAATGTAAATACATAATCGAGTGTAGCCCATGCATTAGTAAGGGTAAAAATATAAATTTTCTTCTAAACGCAAAGTTGAAATGAAAAAGCTAGAAATTCTACCTTAGATTTTGCGTTTGTTTTGAAACCACCGTTACCACCGTATTTTTTCTTTATTTTTCACCCGTTTGACATTAATTCCGTGGTCAAAACGAGTTTTTTATACTAAAAGTGTTTTTAGACAATATTATCAAACGGGCCTAATTCGAAATGATTTAAATAATTCAAAATAAAAGTCAAATTTATGTAGGGTCACTTTGGTAGAACTTTTGAAAAATAACTTTTAAAAGTACAGTATAAAATAACTTTTAAAATTATTGTTTAAAAGTATAATTTAAAATTTAACTGATTGAGATTGTTGTTAAAAAGTGAATTTGAAAAGATAAAATTTCATTATAGACGTTATGTCGTAAATTAATATATATAATTTAAATTATATTTACACTTATTAATACTATGATATATAAATATATCAACTTAAATATAAAAATATAAAAAGTATTTTAAGATAACTCATTGATAATATTTTTATAAATGAAATATTTTATTAAGAAAGAATATATTATCAATATTTTTTAACATATGGATATAAAATTATTACAAAATAATAATTTAAATACTTGTTTTGACAAAAAGAATATTAAAAAAATACACTAGTAATTGCAAATTAAAGTGAATTTTAGTATATAAACCATGAAATTTACTTACTTTTAAGTAATTGAAATAAATTATTAAGTAATATTTTTTAAGGATGTTAATATTAAATTATTAAAATAAAATGTAAATACATAATTGAGTGGAGCCCATGCATTAGTAAAGGTAAAATTATAATTTGCTTCTAAATATAAAGTTAAAAATGAAAAACCTACAAATCTTAGCTTCTTCGGTTGGTTTTAAACCACTGTTTCCATCGTAATTTTTTTTTTTTACTTTTTTACCTTTTTTGGCATTAATTTTGTAGTCAAAACGATTTTTAATTAAAAATGCGTTTAGAAAACCACACATCAAACGGAGCCGGAGCCTCAATCAAATTAAGTTTTATTTATCTTTAATTGATATAATTACCATTGTAACATATAAGAGTATAAGTTTAAGCATGTTTAACTTTGTATTATTTTCTGAATTATAATTTTATGGATATTATAGTTTAGACATTTATAAAAAGAAATGCACATATTCAACTCCAAGACTATTTTTTATTAACCTTTTTAAATTACATCAAACGATAAAGTGTATATGCCACAATATGATACATCATAAAAGATAATCCAAGTCAAATTATTAAACAAAATTAACAAAAGAAGAAGAAGAAGTTTACTCCATAATTGAAAATACATTTTAAAAATTAAACATAAAAAGGATCAAAATATAACAGGATTAGATTTACAAGAGTGTATAATATAGGAGCCTCCTTATACAATTTAACCTAAATATCATTATGCAAATTTGTGGGAGGTAGAGAGATTGAAGATAACAAAAAGGGTGAAAAGAATCAACCTTTCCCATCCCTAACCTCTTGTTGCCCTAAACTTAAACCACAAGATTTTTGGGAGAGATAAAAGCACGCCCCTACAAAAAAATATAAAAAGGAAAGTGGAAGGTGACCAAAGCCCACAAACAAGACAACCACCACCACCACACTCATATCACGTTAGACTATTTGGAGTATATCTTTTCCCTACTCTCTCTCTCTCATTCATCACCCCTGAACCCCCACCCCATTTCTTCTAGAAACCCTGTTTTCTCTCTCCTCTCTCTCTCTCATGCATGATAAAAGTATTAGTATACCAATAGAATAAAGATCCACAACTACCATCTATTTATCATGATTTATTCACAAATATAGCCCTATCCACTTGTACATTTTTCTTTCCCATATCCCCACTCCAATTAACCAATATGGCAATTCTTTATACATATGTTTTCCCATCAACACATTAAATATACCCATCTTTTAACTTTGCTTCAAGATTTGATTTTTAAGTCAACTAGACAACATTCATCAAAACATATATTAAATATTACATCCAAAATATATAGGTTGGAGCATGTATTCAGGTAAATGTTCGTGTGATGAGTTGGGGAAAGATTATGAAAGCCAATCTATACTATTAATCTAAAGTAGTACAAGTTTAGACAAAGTGGCCAAAAGTAGGAGAAAAAATGTATAATACCAAAATTAACCTTTAAGGTTTATTAATATAATTATTTCTATCTATATTTTTTAGCATTTTGGCTCAAATATTTTATTTTAAGATAAAAATGTCTGTAACGTTTGATCAAGTAATCACTTTAACTCTTATTCTTTTTTCCTAGAGTATTTGACCCTCATTATTTCATTTTAAGATAAAAAGACTCATATTTTAGAATATTAATTGATTGTTAATTAACGACTTTTATTTATAGAGGGATTTTTTTCTTTAAAATAAAACGTTGAAGATTAATTTTTTTTTTAAAAAACGAATATAAACTAAAATAATTATTTAATCAAATGATAAATATTTTTTAATATTATAAAAAAAGATGAGAGAGAAAATATCACACTTTGTCCTACCCATACTTTAATATAATCTTACTTTACACCTACCTAAAGGTTACCCTACAGTTAATGTATATCCCCCTTTAACTTTATATATATATATATGATTGATGCTAATATCTATCAAAAGAGAGACGCCACCATCCACTCCCTTCTAACCTGCCTCACCAACTCACATCTAGAAGCTAAATTAGGGTCACTGCCCTCTTTCTCTGTGTTTGTGTGCGAGTATAATAGTCAAAAGGCTTTTAAAAAGCATCTAATCTGCAAATTCTCAATATAATAATATATGTTTATATATATAGTGGTGAAAAACAGCAAACGTAGGTTGTAGTGGTAGTATAGTTTTGAAAAGGGTTTGCGTTTACTGAAGTATGGGGAGGTCTCCTTGTTGTGAGAAAGCTCATACGAACAAGGGTGCATGGACCAAGGAAGAAGATGACCGTCTCATTGCTTATATTCGTGCCCATGGTGAGGGTTGTTGGCGTTCACTGCCTAAAGCTGCTGGCCTTCTCCGTTGTGGCAAAAGTTGCAGGCTTCGTTGGATCAACTACTTGAGACCTGACCTCAAACGTGGCAATTTCACTGAGGAAGAAGATGAGCTCATTATCAAGCTGCACAGCCTTCTTGGTAACAAGTAAGTGTATATGTATGATTGTATTCAACTTTGATTTCCATGTAGTGCTTGATTTTTGAATGGACAAAGCTCGATCACACGGTGAAGATGTAGCTGTTCGAAAAAAATTTAATGGTTTTTGATGGGATTTGTGTAGGTGGTCTCTGATAGCGGGGAGATTACCAGGAAGAACAGATAATGAGATAAAGAATTACTGGAACACACATATTAGGAGGAAGCTATTGAACCGAGGGATTGATCCGGCGACTCACCGGCCGATCAATGAGGCTTCACCGGATGTAAAAACAATATCTTTCAGTGGAGCCAATGAAGAGAAAGAGAAGATTATTAACCCTAATGGATTCATCAACAAAGAAGAAAAGAAAATCCCAGTTCAAGAAAGGTGTCCAGACTTGAATTTGGACCTCAGAATTAGCCCTCCTTACCATCAAACCACTCAACCAGAGCCATTGAACACGGGAGGAAGAACTCTTTGTTTTATTTGCAGCTTAAGGGCTAAAAACATCAAAGACTGCACTTGTAGCATCCGCAGTAGTGCCGGTCGCAGCAGTAGCAGTAGCAACAGCAGCAGTGGCTATGATTTCTTGGGGTTGAATTCTGGTTTATTGGATTATAGAAGCTTGGAAATGAAATAATAAAAACAGGGAAATTGGATTCTTAACTATGTAGTTCAAAACCCCCCAAAAAATTTGGAGAGATATGATATGGAGATTGTTATTAGTTTTTAAATCTCTTTCATTTTCTTCTCTTATATCTCTAATTTGTATGATCATTATATATCACGATATATACATTTAGTAATAGCATAGATGATCATTTGTGGTGAATGTTTATGCATCTTCTTTTTAATGTGAATTTGAAGTGAACAAGGACATACTTTTGCAATTACTTTGTTTTTCATTCGATAATGTAACCACTTTTTCTTTCCTGTTTCACTTTATTAATAATAATTTAGGGTTTTATTAACAAATAATAATAATAATTTAGGCTTTATCAACAATAAGTTATTCTAGTGAGACGAGACACTAATTCCTTTGCTTAATAGTTTGAACTCTGACATTATTAATGGAATAAATTAGGTTAGGGGAGTTAACTCTATAACAGGCTTTTGCAAAATTCGATCCAAAATAATTGATGCATAGATAAGATATAAGCGGGTTAAACAAAATAATAATAATCTAGAGTTTTGTCTAGTTGTGATATTGGGGAACGCAAATGGATAAGCAGTGAGAGGATGAGAAAAGAGGAAGAAGGGAGTGGTGGGCAACCTATTTCTTCCACTCTCCACATTCACAACAACAATAAAAATGCGTGAAGAAACTACACATCTCTTCCATGTACCTTCCAACCCCTAATAACATTTATCATTCAGCCCATGCCATCCTACCTACCTAACTATTCTAATTCTGTAATCAATCACGATAAATATCAACGATAATCGAAATCAAAACCCTACTCTCCATAACTAGCTTAGCCACGTTATATCCACTTATAGCTTTCGATGGTGTGGGGATTGGAGAAGAAGACAAAGAAAATGAAGTTGAATTTGGTAAGGAGAAGATGGGGGCATTGATGAAGGCAGGCAAAGGTTGCAATCTTCACTTTAATAAAAGCTATGCTTTCATAACATAAATGAAATAATGTCAGTTAACTACCGTCGTTCTAGAGATATCTTACGAGACACAAACTTCAACTCAGTCCCCCATAAACATAAATTTTAAAACCTGTTATTTTTATTATGTCTTGATGTCAAATATAAATATAATTAATTTTGAAACTAATGAGCAGTTTCAATAATAAAAAATATTATTCTTTTTAAACGATTTAAATTTAAATAATTTTCTTTGTAAATATACATAAATTTAAATATATTGAATTTTATATCATTAAAGGCTTTAAAGCTCGTTAAGCTTAGGTAATTTCCATCAACAACGGGATAACGTACCAAATTATAAAGTAGTTGGCAATAATCTGTCCATCATGAATTTGTATACCAACCAAACATTTAATCAATTGTATAGCTAAGGTCTAATAATTTATGAAAAGAAAGATAGAAGATAATACTTCTTATATAATAAAAAATAATATGAAATTTGAAATGAAATGGAAAAATAATAATTATTAGATGTTTAAGGATGTTGATTAATTTTTGACAAGGAAATGAAATGAGAGTCATTTATGTTTAAACCAAATCCAATGGTAATATTTAATTTCTTTTTTCGTTTTGACAAACTTTAAATTTAAATTTAATTTTATTTAGAGAGAGAAGACTTTCGGAGAAGAAATGAAAGTGTCCTTAGTGAATCTAGAGCCCATAATCTAAAAGAATAAAAATCAAAGATGAATAATTTAACCAACCGATCAAATGTGATTGCTCTAACGGTAATACTTAATTTCAACTTAGCTTCTCTTATAACAATATTATAAATTTGAGTAAATTAACAAAATCATATATTTATATTTGATAATGTTAGGAATTTGTAACCTCAAAACTAAACGATATCAATGTAAAATAGAACATGTATAAGAGGTAAGATTTAAAGTGGTTCAGTCTTATTTTTATAAACGAGAGAAACATATATTCTAATATAAACATAAGATTACAAAAATACAAATACATAATATTGCTTATATCTTATAATTCGATATATATATATATATATCCCAAATTTTGATGTATCTTAATATACTCTCCCAATGTTGTCTCTATAAATCATTTCAACAATTGAAAGCCCAAAAAATCAAAGAGGTCACAACAATAATTACATATTTAATTTTTATTTTATTAAAAAATTATGAAATGTTTCACCTATTATTATAACAAATTTTTTAAGATTTGTATTTAATCTCTCTCGTTGACATTTATTTTATCATCTTATTTAACAATCCCTAAATAGGGTCTTTAACTAATTCTTTTACATTGGTATGTGCTTGCAATTATGATAGATATATTGTACGAATCAAATTATCTCAATAATTAATTAAATAATTATCATTTCTAGACGTTTTAAGTTCAAAAACCAAACATAATGATTGAATGTTTATTGTAAAAAAAATAATAGCCCTTCCTATATAGAAAAAGGGACTCACTTTTTATTAATTATTAATTTTTCTTGTTTTTCAAAGGTGTTTGGTAGAGGCATTAGAAGGTTCCATCAGTTTTTTTTCTCTCTAAAAGATAACAAATAGTTAAAATGATTAATATAATATAATATAAAATAAAATAAAATAAAATAAAATAGGCTAATAATTGTTCCATCGTTTACTTCCAACTCCCACCAACATCACATGCATCGGTCTTAAGGTAGGACCTCTTGTCTTTCCCAATTCACCCTTCTATTTTTACACAATTTGGAAAAAAAAAGTATTTTTGAAGGAAAACAATTCTAGCTGTGTCATGGATTACATAATGATCAAATGTTGTTATTATAGAATGAATTTAATCTTTTTATTTAATTTTTAAAAAAATATTGCTTTTCAAATTATGATATGGTAAATAAATGATGGGTTTATAGAGTTAGGAAACAAAATATTTTATTATTTTCTATTTGATTATGGATATTATAATCAATAAGTCCTTATTTTTTTTAGATTGGGAAACGGAGGGAATGGCATATTCTGTAATTAAAGGGGAAAGGAAGGGGGAATCGGTAAGAGGGTGGGAAACGTCTCTATCCCAAACGGTACCAACTTGGGCAGTAGTTGGATAGCGTTGGGAAGACGTAGGATGGATGCTAACGTGCGCTGTTGCGGCGATGGGGAATGGGACCCACTCGCACACCCCTCGTGGGCCCAAATCCATCACCCTCCATCTTCTTTCCTTATCATCAGCGGCCGGACCAATCCCCAATTTAACTAAGGGTAAACAACACAAATGGTCCATAAATTATAGAGTGTTGTTTTATTGAGTTTTCTGACTATTAAAAGTTATAAAATGGTCATATGATTATTTATATGTTCAAAAATTATCATTTTCCATTAAAAATTTGATGATCATCTGAATCGGACGTTAATTTATCGACTGAGATATGATAAAATTTAATTTTAAAATCATTTCAGCTGTATTTTATGGATTGAATCTCTATTTACATTATGTCATTGAGCTAGTCAGAAAGTTTACATAATGTAAACAGAGACTCGTGCCACAAAAATACATATAAAACAATTCTAAAATTAAATTTTTATGGATTATGTGGTTGATCTAGTCAAAAGACTCAACAAAGTAGTATACTATAATCTAGGGACCATTTATGAACTTTAACTTTTAATTAATAATATACACCCAAATCAGATTTAACTTTGTTTAATATTAATAATACAATAATTTAAATTTAAAATAATCTGAATAATTATAAGCTCTTATTTTACTTCTTTTATATTGGCTTGAATGAGAAAAATGGAACTAAAATTTAATTGTTAGAGAAATGAGTTTAGAAGTGGAAAATGATATTATGTCTTTGTTAAATAAAGTTGACTTTTAAATAGTCTGATAAATAACAAGTCAAGTGGGGTTATAATTACTTAATTAGCTTCTCATGCACTTTACTTTCGGAAGTCAATAGTAACGCATGGTCTCGTTTCAATCAACACTACATTCAAATACCAATTTATTTATCTAATTATTGAATAACTTTTCAAGTTTATCAGTCTATCTTAGTCTGATTAATGCACACTCAAGACTTCTCATGGTGCATCAATTATTAAATAGTCTAATGAGATAATGTATTACATTTTTTTTTGAAATTATGTTTTACATTTTTAAACACTGTTAGGGTTTATATTTTTTTTAATAGTACAGGGTGATTATAAAGTAGTATCGTATTAGATTTTTTAATCTATCGACAATATTCACACATCTTATAAATACAATTGTTTAAATCTGGAACCTCTAGAGAAAATAATTTTTTCGTTTACCATCAATGTCACTTGATGAATGATGAATCAAGGTTTAGATGTCAACATCATAAATGAATTAAATTAGATTGTGAGGATATTTTTATAACGTATCTTTATAATATGATTTGAATTAGTCAATCAATAAATCAAATATGATTGATTTTATTACATGTATTAATTTTAAGAATCATATCATATTTTAGACTTTTGTGTCTTAACCTTATCTTGTTTAATCATAAGAGATTATTCAAAACATTAATCGACAAAGATCAGAGTTTATTTAGTCTTTACACTATATAAAAATCCATTTTAATCTATTTAGTCATTACACTATATAAAAATCCATTTTAATCTATTTAGTCATTATTGTTTTTTTACTTTCAAAATATATGGTCTAATTCTTTTTATAAGGATCAATTCACTTATAAATTAATAGGACCCAAGGGGCATTTATATCAGTCATTTTTGTTCAACTAATTTTAGATTAACCTTTTTGGACCGAAAAATTCATTTTTCCATATATACATAAATTAAAATATTCTGTTTAATAATAGAAGATGTAATACCCAAACTTTTTGATTAGAGACTAAAATGAAAAGTTTAAAATTTGAAAATTTTAAACTTTTCATTTTAGTCCCTAATCAAATTCAATTTTGGGTATTACAAAAGAATTAAAATAACTTTTTTAATGTAATAGAGGAGTTTCTAGTAGACTTTATCGTAACAACGACAGTGATTCTTCAACTTTTTATTAAAGAAAACGAAGGTACAAGTAATAAGAATAATAAATTAGCAATAAAATAACATTAGAAGTAATTCTAATTGACAACAAATCAATATATAAACATTAGAGATATTTTGAACCTATTGAGTGACCTCGTTGATTAAAGGGCTGTATTTTATTTTTGAGGTCATATATT